GACTGTGTAGAAAATGTGGGAACCTCAAGATCTCACAACCCTATGGGCCTCCACAGCCTGTTACAGGCATACCTTTACTTTTACTATGATGTTGCTCTGTGCATCAGTGGGTGTTTTGAGGCCTACCACATGAACATAAAACACCCATATATTATCTGGAGTCACTTGGGAACTAACATTCCAATTGAAAGAAAGCCATGGAAGTTATTTCAGATCAAAGTGTGTCATTTTTACCCTTCCTAGAGTAAAATTTAAATACTCTTAAATACTGCTATTTTGTTGTGCCATAAACTGGCAATTATATGTCCCCACTTTGAAGGGTTAAAAGGTCATAATTTTTATTTTCTTAGTATACTTTGCAAAGTGTATTGTAAAACATATTAATAGTTTAATGGTACAATACTGTAACAGTTTATGCTTATTTTCTTACAGCGGCTGGCCTGGGAGACCTTCGCAATGTCAATGATGCAAATTGCACATATGAGGGCGAGAACAATGTATTGCTTCAACAGACTAGCAATTGGTTGCTGCAGCTGTGGACTAAGAAGATTAGCACAGGAGCAGGTCCAATCCATACTCCAATGGGATCAGCTGACTTCCTCACAAACATGAATGAAATCTTGAAAACTAGATTTATTGCAAGAACTGTAGAAGAAGCTATTAATCCTGAAGGTATGGAATGAATGTTATGCATTTTTTTTTTTCATAAGTTATTTAATGGTGTAGCGTCAGACTGATGGTCAGATGGTTAGCACTGCTGCATCATATTTTGGAGGTACCAGATTTGAACCTCAGCTGTCTTGAAAGGTTTTTTTCTTTTTTGTCATTTCCTCAATCCTTCAAACAAATGCTAATACCTTAAAATGGACTGCAGTAAGTCCCTTCCTCATCTTTTGTGTTTCGTTATTCACATTCATGCTCAGTGCAGAGATATTACACATACTGCTTCATATATGCATTTGGCTCACTAGAGGGCGTACCATTACTTTCATTATCACGATACTTTCCCACACACGTGTGAAAGTATAAATCAGGTACGTCCAACGCATCGATCGCGGGACGATTTTTGGTCGATCTCATAGGCTTATAAGGAAATTATATGTGAAAAGCATGTAAATTCACTTGTAATATAATGATTATATTCAGATTTTGAAGGGAAAATACATATTAGTCATTCCTATTTTTCTGTTCTTATGTAGCTTACGTGAAAATTGCCTTACACTTGTGTTAAGTGAATTGTGGGGTAGTCCCTACTGTATCCTTATCACATGAACTCTTATTTCATCACTCATCAGCTCTCTGTGTTCTGATGCAAGAGTGATCAACAGAACGTGTGATTCGCTTTGTTCCCTCCCTCCAGTCAACTGTGAATCCCTGTATATTGAACTGACAAGTGAGATGTATTATTATATTAGCTGTTAGTGGAGATTTGTCACTTTGCTGTGCATTAAACAAATATAGAGTTTGGGGATGAGCCCAGTGTAAGCAAAGGGACGGTAAGTGCTCTGCCCACGTTATTTTATTAATTTTGAAAGTGTCTGTGTTTGTGTGCTTGTGTCAGATAAAACAGTTACCTCAGTATAGTGGAAAATGCAACGCCTCAGTATCCTTGCCAAAAAAGGGTAATCTGGAACATCATTATAATGCTCTCCATAGCAGTAAATATGATGCTGATTTTCCATCCAAAAGTAAAATTAATAAACTTAAGCTCGAAGAACTTAAATCGAAAATAGCTGCTCAACAACAGTTGATGGCAAAACCAAGGTCAATTTCTAACAATGCAACCAAATCATCCTTCAACGTCAGCAATCTGATCGTTAAAAAATGCAAACCTTTCACTGAAGGGGAATTTGTAAAAGAGCGTTTTCTTGAAATAGCTGATAATCTTTTTGAAGGATTTAAGAATAAGAAAGAGATCATAGCTACTATTCAAGATCTTCAATTATCAAGAAACACCATTGTGCGGCAAATAGAAATAATGTGTGGAAACATAACTGAACAGTTGTTGAAAGATGTTTCCAATTGTGTTGCTTTCTCCCTCCAACTGGATGAATCTACAGACATCAAAGACAGCCCAGTTACTAGTTGCTTTTACAACAAACATCATGTGTCGTGTTATTTTACCAATATTTTTGCTTAAAGTGAGGTATGACGATAGGAGGGGGTGGTAGATCACTGGCAGTTTTGACACTAAAAAGTTGATCACAGCCTGTTTGAAGTTGGACATGCAAGGTATAAATCACTGGATGTGTGGATAACATGAGCACAAGATAACCGGGAGTTTACCATATCTTCAGAGACCATTTATTTGACATCTTGAATTCTGTATACTGAGAAATAGTGATTAATTACAGAGAATGGTTACTACAAATGTAACCTTTTTTCCTTTAAATGCTTCCATTTGGACCATTTTGTCTTGAAGCCCAGTTATGGCACCATGGCCACTTCATACATCCATTGAATAGTGCATATGTAAATATACTTGCAGACTGTCTGTCCTCAGTTTTCCCAGGTAAATTCTGGGCCACTTTAAAGTAGCACACAGACATTTCCCTGTAGATCCCTCCCAATTCATTGCTTGCTGTCATCCAGTCATAAAGTAAAAGTAAAGCTATCCCTGTACCAGGCCGTGAAGGCCCATAGGGTTGTGAGACATTGAGGGTCCCACATTATCTAGACAATTTGCTCAAAGATGGCGGTAAGGTTGTCAGCCTTATGGGCCGGACACGCTTTACTCCCCAGGAAAATTATTTAATTCCTGGTACTCATTTCTGTTAGAGGCTGAGTAAATCCCAGGGCCTAGTGCAGCTGGAAGGATAAGGTCACTATCATCCAGTCATATTCAATTAAAACATAGTATATTCCATCTATTGTTGGAGCAGTAGTGATGTAGACAGTTATATCATCATTAGAAAGTTACTAGATTCCCATTTTAATATACTTCTGGTATGCATACGCTGGTGGAAAATTCAAAAATACTTGGACAGGACTTTCCTTCCATAAGGTTGCCTACACAAGGTATGATATACCCTGATTTGTAGGGTAGACAGACCTGAGGTGTAGAAACAGCATCAGACAGTAACTGTATTATTCACTGACCACTGAAATCTGGTATATAATTTTATTTATAGCTCTGTTGGCTGCCTACAAGTGGATAGTGTGTTGGTTGTTACAAGCCACTGCAAACAAAGTTAAATCCCAGCATCAACTTGGCAAGGATACATTCACTGCAAAGAATGATTCACAGGTGTTCTTTGCTAAAACACTGTCACTAGCATTCATTGAGGTGAGTTGTTGAGCTGTACATTTCAGATTTGTTTCTCTACAAGTTTATGATCATGTTATGTGTATTTGCACACAGGTAATAGCTTCAGTTGAGTTGAGCAGATTGTCATGATATTTTATAGTTTTTATTTAAATTTATTGACCAGATTTATTTATTGTCCAAATTAGATACAGTGGACTACCGCTTCACAGATATCCTAAATAGTATATTTGTAGAAGTAAGTAAAAATGCTGCTGAAAAAATTATAGCCTCTAGTTGAGAGAAATATTTTGTGCTAGGGGTGTCCATTGTCATCAATTTTATTTAATATCTATATTGATGAAGTCAGTAGAGAATGGCAGAACAGTTTAAAAATAAATTTTTATCAAAAGGCAGTTATGAATATGTTATTGCTTGATGATGACCAAATTATACTCGCAGACATGTAAGATGGCTTACATTACATTACATATATAATATGTGAACTCTTCACACATTATATATTCATGTGAGAAAATACAATCTATGGATATCTGAAAACAAAGCTAAAGTATCTGGCTTTAAAGGAACAGAACATCAAGGTCTAAAATTTTGGCGAATAACGAAATAACAAGAACAATTTGACTCTGAATTATATAAGATGTACAGTTTCTTATCTTCAGACAAGAAATATGGAAATGAAATCACATAAATTCCAGCAACCATTAGGAACAATAAAACAAACTATATTCATGAAGGTAAGAACAGATGCAATCCAAGTTTTGTGAAATGATGATTTTTCCAACTTTATTATGTAGATCTGAAACATGAACATTGACACCACAACATAAAAAAAGGAGGCCTGAGAGATAAACTTATTGATACTGTTAGCATGTTGTACTCTATTTGACGACCAAAATGATGAAGAAATTCTATAGAACCTTAATATCAAAATACTGTTGAGTACCGGAGAGATGAACTAAGTGGGTATGAGCATGTTTCAAGAACAGGCCCAGACTAAATGTAACAAACTTCTAGACTCCAAACTGACAGAATGATGAAACATAGAAAGGATTAGAGAATGTGGAAAGACCAGTTTCGGTCATGGAGCAGGAAAAGACTGAATAATCTAATCTTAAAAGTTGTGGGTGATGATTTCAGAGTTTCCGAAATAATGACTACCAAATCCTAAATGAAACTTGATGTACACATGTGTGATAGTCGCGTTTATTATAATATGCATTTTTTGTGCAAGAAACATAAAATTAACATATGATGAGAAAGTCTGTTAGTGTAGTCACGGTTTTTTCTTTGAAATTCATTGGATTTCACAAACATTTGCTCCTGGAGGTCTCGTTAAGTTGTCAGGCAAATTTAATTCTGATGCACATCAGTACAGTGTTACTTAAGCTATGAATATAACTTTTACTTTCTCATATACATAGTATGATTGAACTGACAGAACTACATGGCATACCATCATGAGGTCACTTGAGTGTCAACTAGACCTTAGATAAGGTCCAGCAAATGCACTACCAACTCTGGGCAAGAAAAAATGTTGGGAAATGGTGCTGGCAGTGTGACACCTGTGCTGCCAGTTGTGGCCCCTGAACCAGGAATCTGGGCCCAGTGCATCAGTAGAATGTCAAGGCCCCATTCGAAAGGATAGCCATCTATGTAGTAGGGCCCATCCCACAGAGTGACCAAGGAAACCAATACCTCCTGATCGCTATAGATTACTATACCAAGTGGCCAGAAGCCTATGCTATCCCCAATTAAGATGCTTTGAGAGTGGCAGAAGCGCTGGTTACCAACCTCTTCTGCCGCTTTGGAATACCACGGGATCTACATAGTGACCAGGGCTGTAACTTCAAGCCTTGTCTGAGAACAGGAGGTTTTGCAACACCTGGGAGTAAGCAAGACATGCATCCCACCTCTGCATCCATAGTTGGATGGCGTGGTTGAGTGCTACATGAAAATGGTTGAGGAGCACCTATGAAAAGTCATTGCATCGCACCAGAGGGATTGGGACTCAAGATTACCATCTTCCTCCTTACTTACGACTCTACAGGCTTGACCCCGGCTAGCCTAGAATTCAGGAGAGAACTCTTGACTGCCCAGCGACCTGCTGTTTGGGGCACTCCTCGACAGGGAACAACACACAATTGATCACGTGGCAAATTTAGTAGACCACCCACACAACATCCACATTTATGCCCACAAATGCCAGAAGCTGGCCAGTAACCGGTTGAAAATTCATTATAACAGAGTTGCCAACTGCATGGGCTACCACAAGGGTGACAAAGTGTGGCTGTATCACCCAACCTGCACGAAGGGGAAATTACTCACTCCAATTCTCATAGGAGGGTCAGCACAAGCTATTAACCCAGATAAGTGATGTGGTATACAGGATCCATAGGAACTCTAGATTGAGGATAATGATTGTACACCTGGACTGACTGGCACCTTATCATGGGACTACTTGGGATGAGCGGCCTTAAGGAGGGAGCAGTGGGAGCAGTTTGAGAGTAATAACCATGAGAACCAAGCCACGGAGAAAGGTGAGATTGATCACAGACGTCACAAGTACAACCCTTAGAAAAGAAAAAATGGCAGTACACCTGTAGGCTATTCAGGGACAAATAGCCTCAAGGAGAGAGCAGTGTATCGTGTAGACCATTACTGGGTAATGCCCTTGAAACAGCATCCATTACCAGGCAGCAACTGCGAGATAAGCAAATATACCAGAGCCTTTACTGGGTAATGCCTTTGCAAACAAACACTTCACACAGAAACGCTTGGAGTCAACAATAAATGGTGTTTTCTCTGCTGTCTGTTCCGAGATATTATAACTGAGACAAGTTGTAACAGAGTCAGATGTAAGTCAGTTGTATATGAGTCTGTGAAGAGAAGACTTGGGTGGTGCAGTTGAAGAATCTGCATTGTTAAGATCTGTCACTTGTAAATGACTAGTGAAAGCAGAAAATGTAGAAATTAACAATAGTGTTACAGTTATTTGTAGTTAGCAACCTGTAAGTGTTCAATAAATCATATCTCTAATTCAGAACCCCGTTGAGAGTCACTCTAACACGTGACAATGTTCAGTATTTAAGAGTTCATCCATTTAAGTCAGTGTCTGGTGAATATGAACATTATAGTGCCAAAGAAAGGACCCTTCACAAGGCATTCAAATGCAAATTGACAGTGTTCTGAACAACAGCACAAATGGTTTTGATTAAATTTCAGGATGGAGACCATATTTATGAATAAGACTGCATAGGTGGTATCATCAGAAAAATGATGGTATTCCTTGTAGTGGTGCAACTATATGTATGTATGAGAAGTATGTGCACTTGCTTTGCACCAGTTCCTCACGAATGTTCTAAAAAATGGCTCAGTAAGCAAAACATTGTTCATGGCATAAAACAGTGATCTCATTAAGATCTAATACTTTTGTTTGAATATTATATTTAAGCATCCTGTTGCACTCTACACGATAAATGATACAAACTCCGTCCTAAGTGCAAACAATATACATTTATATGTCTTTGATCTTGTTCTTTCTACACTACATGTTTCGGCCTCTGTCGGCCATCATCAGGTGTATACTCTTAACGTTGCTGCCACACTGAACCCAGTCTAAAATTTAACATTTAAAAACACAATGTCATGTTCTTCGTATTATCAACATCTACATCGTTGATATGTGTCTGGTATGTAGATTATGTTGCACACGTCAAACCCGATATTCTTGTAGTAGCACTCTAAAAATCTTTAGTTATTATGTTTTTAAAATCTTTTAAAATTTTCTCTAAATTTTAAATTTAAAATTTAAAATTCTTAGGGTTACTCGCCCTATGTCTAAGTGCTGGAGCGGCTAGTTCTTGTTTTCACACTGTACAGGTGTTATTTAATGTAGTCTTCTTGTGTGAACGCCGCTGCTTGTCTGTACTACGTTTTTTGTACTTTTGTTTGAAACAATTTCTGCTATAGACTTGAAAGGATTCTGACGGTGGTGTGTGCTGTACGGAACTATTAGGCTTATTTTGGACTCTGTCCATCGTCTGGTGTATTGAACATAAAATTTCTGATATGATGTGTACAGTATTTAGCAAAATACAAGGACAAAAATTTCAAACTCTGTGCACCATATCTGTAATGTGATTAGCTTTGCATTAATAGATTATATCTATAATAAATTCACATAAGAACTTATGAAGTATATAGAATTGTAAATAATATGTTTGTGGAATATATGTACTTCAAGCTGGAGCACAGCTTCCGAGTCTTGTTATGTTAGTTACTGATGAACTTTATGTTTTTTTTTTTCCAGCATTTTATTCTCCATACATTTATGTCACGTGTTACATCTGATGGACTTGATCTATCGGTTAAGGCTGTGTTGTTAAAGTTGTGCTCTCTATATGGGGCTTATAGTCTTGAGAAGCATCTTGTTACTCTCTACCAAGGTATGTACTTGCTGGTGTTAGAACTACCAAGATTCATCCTATTACCAAATCAGTTCAGTCTAATTCAGCTTGCAAAAGTAAATGTCCTGTAACATTCACTGTTGGGAAGCGGGTTCCTGCTTCTGTGGCCCCAGTACTAACCAACAAGGATGATTACAGTGTTTTTTTTTTTTTCAACAATTTGAAATATATTTTGATGAAATGGGATAGCTCAGTTAGTAAAGTGATTGGATGTAGGCTGAATTGTCAAGATTCAATTCCAGATGGACAGATTTCTCACTTCACCACTGTATCCAAAGGGACTGTGGGGCCACTCAGCTTCCTGTCCAGTGGGTACTGACGGCTCCTTCACTGGGAATAAAGTAGCCAGAACATGTAGCTGATTATTCATCTTCATCTGTTGCATTTCCTCATGACTTGGTGCTCAAGAACAGGAAAAACTTAACTGTTTTGTCTTTATGAATATATTCTGTATCACCGTATTATATATATTAGTTTGTTAGGTGACCTTTTGCAGCGGTTATAGCCCATCTTGGTACTGATTGTTACTTATTGTCATATATAGGGGGGTAACATGACTAATAATTGTAGATTATAGATTTGATGATTAGATTTATTTGATGTCATTATTACAATCACACTCGGTTTTAACAGTTCACTGTTCTGTGTTCTCTTGTATGCTGGTTCTTCTTCCAACTTCTCTTCTGGACTTCTGAACTGACAGATTCTCAACTGGCCTACTTTTATTCCTGCTAGACAAATGAGATAGGAATCACCTTCTTGAAGAGATCTAGTTTTCATATCTGTGTCAATAGTCTATTTTAGAAGTCATTACTGTGCAACCTATGATTCGTTGCTGTGATTATCAGCTTTTAACAGCGACACAGTGAGCCATAGTAACTATAACTGTTGCATAGCAATGACCGCCTATTCTTGTGGTGCCTGGGAATGTGTTTGCCCAGCCGTTGGCCGGCAATGGACACCTGGCTCCAACTTTGATACTCCAGCTTTTAGACCACACATCACAATATAAACCAAACTCAACCCCACACACTTTCTCTCTCTCTGTCTCTCCCCCGACCTCCTTCTTCCAGCTGTTAATATTTCAGTCTTTAATGTTGTCTTAGGGATGACTCATCTTCACTGCTAAGTACATTGTTCCATTGCATTCATCTTTTTATGAATTTCCTATTTGCCTAAGTAATCAGTTAGCCTGCCTCAGACAGCATTAACTGAAAGACAGACATAATGAAGAAGCATTATATTCTGTTTAAAACATTCTTGAGGATACAAAGTACCTTGAATAGGCAACCTTAAGGAAGAGAAGTCATATATGTTCAACAAGATCTCCAGTACACTGTTTGTAGTTCCCATCATTTGCTCGGCACACTGGTCCGTCAGTGCATCAGGTAATGGCCAGAACCCTCAGGTAGCTGATCTGTCAGTTCTGTCTAAATGATGCTCTCTTACTTATATAAATGGCTCAAAGATGGTACCTAATTCTCCAAGGTCTGTTTCACAGTTTTGCACCCAGATGGCATCCCTTTGCTTGCAAAAAGTATATTTTTGAAAGAAATGAAATATATTGAGCACATCTAAATCGATACATTTTACTCAAAATACTGTATTAGGAAATGCTGACTAAACTCTGATTTCCTGTTTCTTGCCCCCTCATTGATCACTCTGTATAAATGTGACATGTTATACCAGACTGTTTGCCAGTATCGCTATATGCAGATTGAGGTACAGCCTATTGAAAATAAATATATTTGTTGTAACAAGTCTTGGCTTGACATGAGGAGGATAGTTGGACTTCAGATATTTAATGCACAGTGCTGTGTCAAATTTCAGGAGGTTATGCAGTAGGACCAGAACCAGCTCAACTGATAAGAGATGGGATCTTGGATTTGTATTCCAAGCTTAAACCTGAAGCCGTGGCACTGGTTGATGTTCTCGCACCACCTGACTTTGCCCTGAATTCTGTACTTGGAAAGTCTGATGGGAAGGTGTATGAGAACCTGCAAGCTGCATTGTTTCAAGGTCCCCAAGTATTTGAGAGACCTGAGTGGTGGGAGGATGTGGTTCACTGGCGTCAACGTTCCAAGCTTTGAGTTAGTCACTAGAAACCTGTCAAATATAGTCAAATAGGTAACACTTGTGCTTCATATTCCTTTCTTGATTCTGTGCCAAGAGGTGTGTAGTCCCTCAGTTCCTCAGGGCAAATGCTGGGATAGTTTCTTAAAATAGACCATGACATCTTTTCACATCCTTCCACTTCTTGTTTCAGTCATCCTTCCCTGTTGTGCTGTATAATATAAGTGACTGAGAAAGCACTGTAAAATAAATTAAGCAGTAACAATTAAAAACCTATGGCATAATGGTCCCCCCCCCAATGGGTCAACTCTGTTTTGCATCTAATGTCAGTTGTAGCCACGACAGACAATGTACTTGGTTGAAGACATTGTAGTACACAGAATTTTTGGTCACACAAACTATTGTACAATAAGAGATGTGTCTGGCCATACTGACTCCTTTGATGGACTACAGAATTACGTTTAAGATGGATGCCATAATTCACATAACTTTTAAACATCTGGTGCAGGGGTATTAGAATTGTCATTAGTTCAAGGTTGTAATTGTATTTTGTTCAGAGTTTCTCCAGTCTAGAAAACCGAAATTAACAGCCATGTGGATTCATTGTGTTGACCACGCGACACCCTCTATCTGCTAAGTTGGCACTAACTTCGTCGACAAGTGACGGTCTTTAGGTCGATATAGTTTGCTTGCAGACTAAAAACTATGGAGTTTTCTTCTTCTTCTAAAGGTACCCATACTTCTATTGGTACAGCAGTCTGTGCAAGATATTTGTAACTGGGCCTATGTTGTCAGTTTACAATTTAAATTGAAAATGAGTCTGATTCAGTATGGTTTACCATGGTGCTTTGCTGCTACAATGACCTGTACTCCACATTAGGCTCCAGGGGTTTATGCATGTACCACAGCAAGTTATGTTTTGTGAACATAAAGCATGAAGATATGAACAAACAGCCATTAGGGACTCTGAAGAGCAAGTGAATGAAGGTATAAAACCAAATGGGCACTGGTACAAAAACGGTGCTTGTGGGAGAAAAATGGAGGGAGCTTAGTGGTATGACAGAATTCAGTATGGGAGCAGATCAATCCAATCAACATTATCAAAATCACTTTCCCTAAAATACATTTTAATGTTATCCTGGTATAAACAGTACAGTCTTCTGAGTAGTTGCTATCCAATATAATTTCCCTGCCAAAATTCTCTATGCATTTTTGCTTGTCCTGTTACAACTACATGACCAGCCTTTTATGGTTTAACTACAGTCACAGTTGCAGAGATCTGTATAAAATAATGATTGTTGCTGCTTAGGCTTTTTTTCTGAAAGGGAAAAGTGTTATAGAATGAACATATATGCTCAAGCAAGGCTGAATGCAAACATCTTTCAAAGCTGTTGCCACGTTCTTGTTCTTTTTGCAGTAGGTGTTCTACAGCAGCTACACCGTCCTCTGAAATATGATTTTGAACTGACCAGGTTTCATTCTTTACGAGACTGCTTTGAAACTTTGAATTGCATATTCAACTTCATATTCACACTGCAAAAGGAACCTTGATAGCGCAGTCTGTATAGTGACTGGCTATGGCTGGACAACCAAGGGGCTGAAGTTTGAGTCCCGGTAGGGTCAGGAATTTTTTCTTCTCCATGTCATCCAAATCAGCTCTGGGGCTCACCCAGCCTCCTATCCAGTGAGTACCAGGGGGCTCTTTCCCCAGAGGTAAAGTGCCCGGGGCGTGAAGCTGACCACTCAGCTGCAACTAGTGCCTTGGTCAAGAAAACGTAGGTTTATACATCGACTCCCCCGTATGTCTTCATGGCATAGTGCTTAATTGGTTAAGCACAGGGACAACTTTATATTTCAAAACTGCATTTTTTCAGGCAACGTATGTTACTGACTTGGTTTATTGTTGGTTGGTTTCCAGTGGCTGCATTTGGGATCTTCTAACTCATTTCGCTTTTTGCTTCCCATTTGAGAACACTCAAATTCTTGCTTTGTTGCATCACGATTAATTAATAATAGAAGTATTCGAAGTGAATGATTAATAATGTAATTATGAATGTGAACTATGGAAGTGTTGCGGGTAGCAAATATTCCTCATCTAGCTTTGTTATTAAACAGGATGATAATATAAGAGTAAGACATATCAGGCAGAAGCTTGTGTAGTTGTATATGATTAGGTGCGCTAGGTGTAGGCAGAGTTAATAAATTTTTTGTAAATTTATACATTTATATGGAAATCTTGCTTTTATTCATAATGATTCATGACATAATGTTTTAACTTCAAGAGCAAATACCCGAGGTCTTTACCAGGCAGAAATATCATACAAACAAAGGTCCAGTTCTCAGCAGTTATGGAACAATGATGTCTGAAATGTAAGAATGGTTTTTGATGTACATCACAGTAATTTCATATAGTCATGTGCTTGTATGACTGAACTGAACCAGTAGATACTATGTAGTACTGTGTCTCATGACATGCTGTGCATGTTTTATGTGTAATTAATACCTTTTACATTTTCAAATGCTGAATATGCAGAGTTGATGTACATTTAAAGGTTTTATAGTGGGATTACATATGCTGCTGAATACCAGCAAATTCTAAATTGAGGAATCCTGTGGTGATCCACAATATTGGCCACCCACATCTCCAGACTTCATCCCCCTTTGTTTTTTATCTGTGGGGGCACATGAAAGATCTAGTGTACCAGCAAAAGTGGAGACAGTGGATGCATTACTACTTCACATTTTGGGTGCTGCAACTTCAGTTAAGGACAGTTCTAAGGAAGTGATGAAAGCTACACATACAATTCACAAGACACGTCAGAGTAAGAACTGAGGCTGAGGATGGTCATTTTGAACAGTTATGTAAAGTCAGGAATTGAAACTGCATACATAAATATTTGCTTGGACATTCCAGTAATGCGAAATCCATAACCATTGAGAATCAGACCTGCGTTTATATGAGATTTCTGTCTGGGAATTACTTCAGAAATTCTGAAGTTAAGACATTAAGTTGTGAATGACTTTGTTGTGATGTAATTTTTACACTTGTTGAGTGGGAAGGGTATTTAAAAAAACAGGAGCAATCATATAGTTATGTACTGCCTGATAATATTAAATCTAACTGTTGAAAGTATGTGAACTAATTAATAGTAGAAATAATAACAACTTATAATGGGTGAATGAAGAGATAATATGGCTAGCCTACAAATTTAGTGGACCACGTTTATGTGAGTGAACTGTTACTAATGAGTACTTTTCCTCCAAGTCCTTGACTGTGTTCATTTACACAGGCATATAGCAAAACTGTTTGAGTTATACATTCCTATATTCATTTGTTTCCTCGCCCTCCCCCTGTGCTTAATTGTAACACAGGGGAGTGATACATTTGAAATTTTGGGCAAAAGAATAAACGTTTAAAAATGTAATGTTTGGATTTAATTTTCCGATTCTGTTTAGGCTTTTAAATGTTGTGTTATGCAAAAGTCATTTTTATAACATACCGTTGTGTAGTACAAGTATGAAACATATGTATGTAACATATATATATATATCACATTTAATGGTAGTAAATCACAATGCGGACTGTGTGTGGAGGCTGTAAGAAAGTGTATGTCAAAGGCAGCATTACATGAGTAAGAATGAGATATACAAGATGTATTCTAAAACTAAGCTCCATTTTACTGTTGAACATACATTTTGTTCACTTTTCAGTGTAGTCTCCTCTCGGTATACAAATTTTCCCATTGGTGCAGAACTTAACAAACATTTTAGAAATTCTTGTAATAAAATGTTGCCCCATTGGTAAGTTTTATCCCAGTATACTTTTACATTGAATGATATAGGGTGCTTGAATTGAATCTTATTTCATAAAACAGTGAAAAATCAGACAGTACCAATTCAGGAGAGTAATGCTAAAACAGTGTTGGATTTGAGTCTCTAATGGCAGTTCAATTTGGAGACAGCCCAGTATTTCAGAGGCTCACATCACTTCCATCTTCAGGGTGAAAGAGTAAGCATTTCTGCCTGCTCACTTGGTTTTGAGTTTGGCTTACTCTTCAGTCCTGAAGCTGGAGATGATATTGCAAGATGACAGCTACAGCCAGAATATTGGAGTCAGAGAAGCATCACAGAGAACAGGAGCCATCAAGCACAGAATCATTGGAGATAATTCCTGTTACTGGAGACCATAACCAAGCAATGACCAGAAAGACTTGGGATGTGCTGTAGCTATTTACAGATTGTGAAGGAAAGTAAAAAAGTGTTGCAGTTATATGTATTTAAGAGTAATAGGTGTCCATTAAATTCAGTCATCAATCCAAACTGTATCTAGTTATTGACCAGTGACAGGATGTTCTTCCAAAACATGGACCTGTCTCCAAACTACATAATGTTACAATCCAGAAGACTGTACTCTTCAAGGCTAAAAGGGAATCTGATGACTGCACAGCATTCTTCAGTAGTAAAATTCATAGCAGGAAATGCCTCAGATTGTCTCCATATTGTGATCGATGGTTAAGGTTATTTGCACCAGGAACTGTAAAAACAGACAGAATGGAACAAACTAGCCAGCCTTTGCCAGGTACATTCAGAACATACTGCCACATAGTATGGAGACAGCCTTTATGTTGTTGAATTGATCTAGTGATCACTTATACCCCCACAACTCAGAACTGCAAGCAGTTACAGTGCCATCACTGATTGCACACTTTACAAACCACTACAGCACGTGCAAAGCCTCAATCTTTTATAGTTTTCCAGGGTGGTTGCTTGATAACAGCTCTCAACAATGTTGATTATTCAGCTTTTGCGCTTATGCCATTGCCTGTTGGCTAATACTACTGTACAGAACTCACTGCTCTAGCTGTTCTGGTTATAACATCTCAGCACAGAGCACATAGAAAACATCCCATTTCCAACAGTAACTCTGTTGTTGCATAAATATTCGTTGCCGCAGGAATGTGTTTACTGAACCATTGCCCAGAAAAGGTTGCTGTTTACAGATTACTTAGAAATGGGTCTATACATTACAGTACTTTTTGAATGAACCTTATATGCACAGTAGAATAGAACAGAAAAGCAATGTGTTATATGTGCGAACTAAAGTGGAATATTTCAGAATAGAGGAGGAAATAAATATGTGGAGTACATACCAAAGCAGAAACACCAAAAAGATCACAAATAGTTTGTTTCATTACCAACTTTTATCCAAACATTGTAGCCAAAAATTACTTATCCTGTTTTATTTTGCTTCTGTTTGATAACCTTCAGTTTATTAAAATCATAAAACCTAAAATTAAATATCTTGTTCATGTATATTTAATTAATAATTACCATCATTATTCATTCATGTTTCCATCAGAGTGGATGGTCTGAAATGAAGACATTAGTCAAGATCTGAAAGCAAAAATATACTAGAAAAGTTGGTGAAATTGATACCATGGCACAGGTATGTGTTAAACTTGAATGACAACAGCATTTCTCTGAGTATATCAAGGATAAAGATGTTGAATAAATAAGTGCTTGGGAGACCAAAGGAAACTTTGAGAAACAAAGTGAGGGAAGATATACAATTGAGAACAGGGAATGAGGACACAGGTACAAGAAGAATATTTATGGAAGGACAGAAAAACAAGCAGGCCTTATGACAAGAAAACCGACACTGGTGCAGATGTCAATAGATAATGATGACAATGACGACAGTGACATACTGCAACAATAGTGCTATTTAGTAGCATCATGGGAATTTCTTGCCACAAAATAGGTCTGGATAAAGAATTAACAGATGCCAAGAATTGACGGAGTTCATAAAGATTTTAATTTCTGTCATATTCCACACATTACAGAGTGAATTAGTCTACCCATATAAAACCATGAAAGTATTTTGAAATGTTTTGAAGAAAAATGGGCCATCATCGTTCTTTTAACATGCTATTCTCATATGCAGGTTGCCAGAAATGTAATAAACTGACTAGCTTGAACCACATGCATTTTGTATAGTGACTAGTAGATTTAAGTATTTCTGGACACCTGGCTGTATGGATTATTCAATATAGGCAACACACTGAATTATAGCAATGATTTCTACAGAAATATTATTTATGGCAGACTTACTAATTATTTTTAAGCATTTTTAAAGACTTTTTATGATCATAATAAATATTGATGGCATATTTATCATATATTGAACTTTTCTTTACAACACATTGCCAGTGTATATTTTCCCCAGTGAGGGCACATATGCTTATGAAGTATCCCACACCAAGGGCCACAAAAGCCCCGTAAAGTTTGTGGAGGTTCATGAGAGGTTTGTTGCTATCTTCCTCTTTTGGTGTGTTATCTGCTGACGTGATATTAAGCATCACATCGTTGAGCCATTTCTTGACAAGACCTGCTTCAACAATGCAACGCAAGAATCTATCCATGTGAGTCTTCAAGGGTGAATTTTTCTGAAGGCCAATTGATATAGGCATGTGAATTACACAGTCATGCATGATATGGAGGTTCCGTTCTTTTGATTCTTGATAGTAGTTGACGTCTTTCTTAGTTTCAGCTTGTTTCAGTGCAAGTTGTCTTCTAACACGTAAGTATTGTAAAAAATAAATATTTTCGTAGTAAGCAAACTCTCCTTTAGCCACTCTTTCCACTGCAAGATCAGAGTCATAGATGACTTCAAACTTGAGTCCAATTTTTTGTCCAGAAGTGTCCAGTGAAGTAAGAAAGAATTGCTTTATATCTTCACCCCAGCCTCCACAGGTAATGTGGTGGTCTACCAACTGATCCAGCGTGTCTATGGTGACCCTTTGAAATACATATACATCTATAACATATTAATAATCTGATAAGTAAAATCTAAGAACACTGTATTCTTCACCCTTGTCTTTTCTCTAAACTCTTCTATAAATTCTCCATATGTTTCTTGCTTCATGTTTGATCATGTGCTCCATGATTTAAATTTACCGTATCCTAACACTATCAGACATGTTAATTTAAGCATCTGTTATGCCTGATACTTAAAAAGGGAAGCAGGTGATATTTAATTTCAGTACTTCTTACTTGAGAAGGTTTGTCAAATTCACAATGACATGTTAAAATGCATCTGTTTGCTTTGTCATATCTGTTCACCTGTATGCATGTAACAACAAGAGAACTGTTAAATTAATTTTCTTGAAGTTTGGTAAAGGGAGATTTACTAAAATTTGTTACCAACAACCCACTAATTAAAAGCCCACCATTAACCTGTTGTCTTGGGCTGCCTCAGTCAATTCAAAAGCTCTTACTGTGACATCCAGTTTTTTGTTTTAATTTGTTTTAAATTACTTCATATATTGTTACAGCAGAATCCCTTATACTGAGATACAGTTGATCTGAATATAACAACATAAATTGTTGAGCCACAGCATTTTCTTTATTGTTTATAGAGAGGTTCACAAAAATAATCTCCAACCCTGAAAATGTGTTGAGTAGTTCCCTGTCCAACTCTATGTTAAGATAAAGTCTTTCGGGATGTGATGCTATGTAGTTTGCTACATAGGTATCAACACTAGAGGAACTTTCAGAATGAAACCATGGAAATGGATATCAGGTTACAAGATGTCACATCTCCTAGGACCTATAATCTTAATATCTACCACTGTGAAAACATCAAATCTCACTTCTCTGGATTTGTCACTCAGAAGTATTTTATTTCCAAGGAAGTCCAATCCATGGCAGAACCTCAAAATATATGAAATTGTGGCGATTACTCAGAATTTAGACAGTCATGTAACACTTCATCTCTGCATATATAAATATATTCTGTTTTATCTTTAAACCCCAATTTGATCGTAAGACATTAATTTCTTAAATCTCTGTTTTCACTGTGAGACCGGTGTTAAAACATCGTGTATCCAAAACGGAGTGTGATTTCACATGCAGTGGGACTATTCAGTCAAAATAATATGGGGATTAATAGCCATGGCCAGCATGACCAGTTAAAAGAGGTTGTAGTGTATTTATTATTCAGATACTTAAGGTCAAGGTGGGCTGCATTTGAAAGAAATGAAATTGAAAGGTAAGAACAGACCTACGCTTAAACAATGAATGGCATAGCTCTTCCATGACAAAGATTACACACCTGGGAGTTGGGTTAGTGAGAATTGCAGTCATGCTTGCTCGATAAGCAACCACCAGGAGAATGCAGTAGATCCACCAACATCCAGTCAGGACCCGGAGCGACCAGCCTGATGGAAGCTTTGGGAGGGAAATCAGTAGGAGCATACCATATGTGTATAAAATTCCATTTTCTAACTCACTGAACAAATAAAGACCTTTACCAGTTTCCTTCCCCTCTTCATGTACATGTACCATTTTGCTGTCATTCGCTCTTCCTCTTCCCTGTACCATGACGATATCATGTGTCTGCACATCCACTGTAGACACAATGTGGTGGTGATAGCTGGCCAGAGCATAAAACACAAATCCAGCCAAAATCATAGCCACAAGCACTGCAGCCCACATCACAGGCCTGAATGAACACAAAGCAGTACAAGATGAAGTGGTAAGATGGTATGGGTGAAGAATATACTTTTTCTTTGTTAACTCTGGTAGTCAGCAGTCTGCTTTATGATAGTGTAATGTTCTTTTATACAAAAACTTCATAGAATGGCATTAATAAAAAAACTCCCTGGCATGTAGTCTGCAAGCGAACTATACCGACTGAGCGACCGCTGCTTGTTGGGAAGTTAGTGCCAACTTTGAGGATAGAGGGTGTCACGTGGTCAGCACAACAGATCGCCATGGCCGTTGATCTCGGTTTTCTAGACCAGAGCTGCCATTTCCTTCAAATAGCTCCTCAGTTATCATCATGAGGCTCAGTGGACCCCATTCCAGATTTCTCAGAAAAACTGGTAGCACCAGGAATCGAACCTGGCAACTCTGGATCTGTAGGCAGGAACTCTGACCACTAGACCACAGAGGCGGCCAGTTTAATTAAATGTCAGATGACAGCCAGTGTCATGATCCTTTTAGTTATATATCCTGTGATAAGGAAAATTATATATTCTGTAATTTTGGTGCTGAAGTGAATTTCTGCTGTGACAGCATTATTAACTGCCTTCTTACGTTTTTCTTTGCACAGGAAGCATTTTATATTTTCACCATTTCCTGATCCTTCAAAATAATACATGCACCCTTCCACAAATTTTCTTCACAAATTACCATGAACATATATAAAAGAAGAATGCCTTTATGCTGAATACCTCAGCACAGAAAGGGTTAACCTAAGAATGAATTAATGAATCAAGTTTACTGCCACTTTCATAAACAATTACCTGCCATCTGAGTGTTACCTGAAAGGCAGAATCAGTGTCATCCAAGAATTGTCAGTGAGTGATTCTGGGGTGAGAAAAGTGAGGCACTGTGTGGTGTAAGGGATGGTGAGATCCATGAGTTCCAAATAATATGGTATGTAATATAAATTGCCCAGTGCAACATCAGCCTCTCCGCTCATCACTTCTCCCAGCAGGCCTGAGTATGAGCCATTCAGCTGTTTGCGGCCCCATTGTTCCACATCTGCATTTTCTGCTTCATACACATCTGGATGGAAATTCATTACAGTTGCAAGTGTCCTTAGTACCTGAGAGACAGACAAAGATGAAAAGTGCATAATGTTTTAGACATGTTTCATGCACATTCAGTATTTCATAGTCACTGTCTACAAAACAATGGAAAAGGCAGTATTTTCCCTAAGTACTTTGGTTTCCTCTTGTCATGCATGGTTCCATCAGTGCTTACACTTATCTGTCACCATTCCTGAGACATGTGATATGTCCAAGGAAAATGACATATTATCAAAACCTCAGTTCTTCACTCTGACTTGGCATCCTGCCAAACTCTGAGCAAACAAATTAACTTTTATAAAAACATGTATTTAGGTCTTTACATGAAGTAGCTAGTTTTATGATGCCAAATTTTAACCAAAATTCAATTTTAATGATAAATTTTACTATGGAATTTATGCAGGAAATATAATCATATTTATTTAATCCAGAGTTTAGTTTTTTTTTTTTCCTGTGGCGCTACAGCCACAATTTGGGCCTAGGCCTACCTCCATGAAACTCTCCATTTCACTTCGGTTTACTAGATCTTACACATACGGTAGGACTCCTTGGGCGAGTGATCAGCTAGTTTCAAGGCCTCTACCTGTAGACAAACACAGAAAAACGCACACAAACATCCATGCCCTAAGTGGGATTCGAACCCATGATCCCGGCTTCCGAGCAAGCGAAGACAGTGCATGCCTTAGACTGCTCGGCAGAGTTGAGTTTTTACATGTAGATATCTGCTCGTTACCATGGTAATTATTATTTGCTGCTGAAAAAACGTTCCAAACAAGTATTGTTATCTGCTGCTACTGATCTATTCTAGATGAGTGATTCTTAGTTTATTTAATTATAATGTTTCAACCATACACATCATTGGGAGGACGAACAAAAAGTATTTGTCCCTTCCAACATGCACATTCCAAGGGAATACTCAAGACAGCTGAGAAAGCTGTGAAGTCTTTGGTCATCAAAGACTGTAATCTCCACATATTTCCTGCTTTTCTAATTTACAGAATGAACAATAGACACACCATAAGCAAAATAACCTGGAAATTGACAAAAGACTTCGGCTTGTTACATCTCACCACATTAAATTCTCACATCGACTACAAGTCGTATGGAAGAAATATGACCCACCTGGAATCCAGGGAACAGCTGGTTGGGGATCTCACTCTTCTTCCTCATGAAGAGAATACTAAGTGCATGGTGTCCTAAGGGGCTGACCAGCAGTCCATGCATTTGCCCAAAAGAACAGAGCATTGTCATTTGTGCAAAATGTCAAAGAAAAAAAACAGTGTTCTACTGCAGGAAAGGTGACTGTGATTGTGCTGATTCCGGTGTATTATTATGTATTGGATCTGCATCTTTCTTGAATGAAGTTTTACAGTCCAGGTAGGAACATTTGACTGATAATTAGTAATGAATGTCAAATATGGATAGATCTTTTGAGTATAGCTTGGCCATGTTCCAAACAAGAATTCAAACCTGTTTTTATATAAGTATTTACATTATAATGTTGTTATTTTGCTGCATACTCTTTAAGTAATATTACTGTGGTGCAAATAAATGTGTGAGGTTCATCCAGAAAATTCTGTTCCTTCTTTTAATACTACGATATCAAAACTGTAAACCACTACACTACAATGTCTAGCAAGTTTATTCTGCTCCTAATGTTATGATACACTTTCTAACGAATTACATTTTCTGAAAATGAAAGAAATAAATTTGAATAAAACTGTATAACAATTAATTTAGAAATGTCCATGCAATGTGATGATCACCCATGCACAATGCTGCAGCTCTATCATGAGTTTATCCAAAATGAAACATGTTGTAGTAATGCTTTTGTAACTAGATACAGGTACTCTTATCTATATAGTTTATAAACTTAGATCAATTAATTATATACATAGCAATGTGTAATTATAACGACTTATATACACACTCTACATGTTTATATTTTTGGGTAGCTTTGTGATATAAAATTATAAAATGGTCTGTGCAAGAAATGCAATAAATGAAAAACAAATGTTCTTGTTCCAGTTTCCAACTATTTTTGAGAACTGCTGACATATACCTCTATCTCAAGTCCCCCAAAGATAACGGAACCACTGCCTTCCACTGTGCCATCCATCCTAAGGGGAGGGGTTGCCAACTTGGTGCTTGCTGGTATATGCTGGAAAGTAACAACCTTGAGCTGTTGTCCTCTCAGGTCCAAGGTCTTCTCTCTAAACAGATCAGCCCCAGAATGGAATTTCCCATGATGCCACGTGTCCAGGTGATGAGGGATAAAAGTTTTATGGATGGGTGATGGAAAAGGTACCGTACTGATATCATACCATGAACGGATAACCTGGTGTCCTATGAGAACAGATGTATGATGTCTTCTATGCTGGCGCAAGAATACGACATTCACAATTTTTTTCCAGAGATAATGTAGATTGGGGTGGAATAATCGGTTGTCATACAGTAAAATGAACTTGGCTCTTGTGTCAAGTACTCTGTGTCTGTAATAATATTCAGAAACAATCATTAATGAAAACATAATTAAGTTTCTCATAAATTATTGCATACCTTTAATTCATATTCTAAAACATATTGGCCCTCAAGTTAATCAATATACAGTGGGAAGAGTGGAAAGATGTAATCAAGTGGAGCAGATACATATTTTCTAAATATGTTTTTTCCTTTAACGTTATGGTCTTCTTGGATCTGACATTCTCTGAAATTTTGGTAACTTTCTTTCACGCAACATGCTGTCACAACCCAGAAGACCAGAACTTTAATAATCACTGCCATGAGAACCTCAATATCATTCATGTTTTCCTATTTTACATGTCATTAGCCTTAATGTTCATTTATGCAGTATAAATATATTATTACAAAGCTAATCACTATAAAGATATTTCACTGTAGAGTTTCAGATATTACTTTTCCTTGCATATCATTAAATATTCACCGTACTGAAACATTTTTATGTATGTAGACATTTATGATATAGTATATTTTTATGTAAGAAAATGTATGATGTTTCATTTTTACTGCATGAAACTTAAAAGTTTTGACAGACACAAACCCAAATTTAATTAACTTGTTCGCTTGCAGTATTCAAGATAGATCTTCAGTACCAACTTTCAGTCAAATCTGTTCAATACTTTCAGAGAACAAACTACCCAAAAAACTTTTTTAGTAATGACAGAACCTCTAGTTGGAACAGTCTTATGAATACTGACAGCCACAGCATATCAGAGAAAGAGTATACTTTCAGAGTAAAGACGAATTATAATACTCGTACATCCATTCATAAACAAAATACACAGCCTGACTCAGACTTTATGGAGACTTAAATAAATTATCAGTAAGTTGCAGAAGTGTTGAGATCTTTTTATATGATGCCCTCCACATATGTTTGCAATAATTAAACATCATCTTAAAATTAGTGAAGTCTACATCTAAAAGAGATTAACAGTATATGCACTGATTTCAATGTTTGTAGAGAAGATGGGAAGGGAGGCAGAATGGAAAATTCTTCTCATGATTAATGTTTAGCTAGTCAAATCAAATGGCTGCAAGACAATATATTGTCACATGTATCAGTTACTAAAGATGGGGTTCAGATTGGTAATTGGATGTATTAACAACCTACAGGTTGTAACTACAGTTAATTATAACACTGTTCCTGATTTTCACACTACAAAGCACTCCACACTACTCTCTTCAGTCTATCTCCACTAGTCTTCACAGGTTTATAATACAGGAACTATAAATGTCTCCCTAAATCATACACTTCCAATACCACTGCACTATACCACACATTAAGTCTTCAAATCACACATTAAATCTTCACAGGCTGACTTCCTGTACTCTTCTGTACTCTTTGAGCTTACTGCTTACTTGCTGTACTCCTGCAGCTTATGCTATACTCTTGTGTGCATGCTTCAGCCACTACTACCACTTGTAATTCCCTCGAACGAATTCTGTTACTCTTACCTATATAGCTGCAGAACAGACATGGACTTACAGTAAACACATATCAAGTGATTCAAGTGATTGCTATCCAGCCAGTCTATTGGCATGTTGGTCAGGTCTACAGAAAACACAGCTTCCTCTATTGTTGCGTGCTGGACCAGAGCTGGTGCCTGACAACGTGTTGATCAGATTCATTACAGTATCTTAATAAATGCATAATTAACTCTTCTCAGTTCTAGAAGAATATAGGTGTTAAAAGTTATTTTGATCTCTTTAATTCTGGAAATTTGAAGAGAACAGTATTCACTGATAATATTGGCAAATGTTGTGCTAAAAGTTAAGATACTGTCTTATCTTAAATTTAAAAAAGTGGGAAAGCACTGTGTAATGGGTCTTAAATATATGACCATGACACTGATAATCTAACCTTTTGCAATATTTTATTGATATGAATATTTTATGCAAGTTTTCTTCATATTCTATTACAGTAAGATTGTAAAGGTTTTTCTAGTTGTCTTTCAATATTTTATGTATAGTATTTCATTATCAAAGATCTAATTTTATTACTAACACAAATCTAATTGTGCTATAGATAACACTGCTCAAAGTCAGAAATAATTTTTACTTCTATTTCAGTAAATATTCATCATACCCAAAAATGTCTCAAATAGAAGTTGTACATCTTAATGAGATTATTTTGTATTATTGTATTATACAATTATTTGTATGATGTGCAGTTTTTTAGAATTTCTATGAAGTTTACTTAAGGCTGATTAGACTGTCATACACCAAACTTAAATTTATTTAACAACTTTCAGTACAAAACATTCTGTTTTGAGATACAGATAACAGATCAAATAGTCCTAATACTTAAAAATGTGATTTTTCAGTTTCAGATCCATCTGTCCCCTTACATTAAATATCATTTTATAGTAGAATTCCAATATTCTGTCAAAATGCCCTCTCTTACCTGATATCTGTCAATTGTTCATGTAAACGAAATACACATGATCTAATTCAAAATACCTGTCTCCAAATATGAGGAATCGTGATACTTTCCCTCCATTAGAAATCAACAAAATATAAGCTTCACAGCCAGCTCTTTTGACATGCAAAATTACAGAAAGCGTTCTGTAGTTTGGACTCTGCAAATCTTCTTTATCTTCCACAAGCACCTGTAAAAGTAGATAGTTTAATCACATAGACTCCAGAGTAAGCTACATTAGAAGCTTCTAGATAATCTTTATGGATAACGCAACATAAAATATCTAGTTGGAGCTGAAGTGCTTGTCTGTCCTCTGTCCCTTTATCCTTTAATTCTACTAAATTGTGTCACTGTTTACTCATCATCACTTTCATCATCAATGACAGAAACAGTACTTTATACATTATTAAATGAAGAAAGAAACTGTAGTCAAGTATGATTTCTTTATTCAAGGTGAAAATATAAACTATGTTAGAAAACAAAATGCTCAGAAAATTTTAGCAAAATAGTAATGAAAAAAGTTATAAATATAAGATATATGACAAGCCTCATGATTTTTACAGCTCATCTGGTATATTATATTGTAGCTTATGTCTCAAAGTATGATCTCTGGACATTCTGATATCTATTTGCCTAACGCAGTAGTGTAGTTGGTTGAGGCATTGTGCTACAAGCACCTATGAGGTCATTGATATTTTTCAATTGACCTATTCCTCTCAGCCGCACTATGGCCCTGGGGTCGACCCAGCCTCTAGCTGAAATGAGTATCAAGAATATTCCTGGGGCTAAAGGGCAGTCAGCATGTAAGGCAGACAACCTCACTGCCATCTGTGAGCTGAATATCTAGAAAATGTGGGAACCTTGACATCTCACAACCGTATGGTCCTCCACAGCTTGTTACAGGGATAACTGTACCTTTTACCTTTTTACTGACTACATCTAAAAATAAGACATAAACCATTCTTCTACTTCATTTCTGTTCCACTTCATTGCTCTTTTATTCTCATTAAATTTATATATTATAGCACCCAAAAGTAATATGAATGACAGGTCATAAGATGGTCACTTTATATACAGTAATTAAATACCTTATAATAAGGGATGCTTCCAAGACTTTTGAAGAAACGGCCTCCAAAAATATCTTGTTGATTGTTATCATTGATGATAGCCAAACAGTTGAGCTCCCCAAGCATCTCTGTGACAATATCAATTATAAGGTGCTCCAGATCCTCATTATAGTCAACTTGCTTTACAATGTTGTAAAGTTTCGTTGTACTACAAACAAGGAAAATGAATAAATTACATAAATTATTGTGTAGACTTGTAGAATAAGTTTCTGTTCCACATACTGCTTACCTAATCATGTCTGCTGAACTCTTGTATGCCAGACAAAATGCATACACTGCAGAATGAATTGGTTCTTGGTTTATTTAATGATAAGTTTCATAGGATATGAATAGGAGCAATAACAGGATACTTTAAGACATGATCCCAACGTTTACTTGTTGGACTTGAGGAAATCCAATGAATAATCTTAGTAAGGGCAGCTGGCCTCCCAGGCAAGATTCAAACCATGTAGCTCCTAAATATAAAGCGTGAATACTAATCTCTGTACGATGGCATTGTAAATATTACAGTAATAGTCAGCAATCTTAAAATAGGATGTAAGTTACCAGTCACCATAGAAATTACGTTCATTAGTTTAGGAGTGTTTGTGTTTGCAATATTTTGATCATCCTTAGATCTGAAGAGTACTATCTTCTGGAATTCAATGCTACATACTTCAGTAGAAGTCCATTGACATTTTGGAGGAACACTGTGGACTCTTTTATCAGGCTATACATCATTACATTCACAGTCATTACTGTGAGAAGCTCAAATCCAACACAGCATTACGTCTGGTTTGGATTGGTTTAATTTAGTTCAGATGTTTCTATACTTAACAGTTTCAATGTACGGTATTTTCTGGAGTACAATACATAATATTTTGCTTGGAAAATGCTAACTAAAATCATAGGCTTCTTTCCTAAAATTTTCCATGTAAAATAATCTGGGTGTTTCATACATAATCTCAAAAGTGTGGCATATCACACACTTTGGTGGGTAGTTAGTAACTATATCTACAATTTTACCAGTTATTATTATAAATTAATGCCTAACTTGGCGGGCATATCAATGTTTTCTTTATACTATTACACATTTATGTGTGATTATAGACAGGGTAGGGATTGTATTTTACGTTTATTGATCACTTGTATACGCGGCTCCAAACTACAATTACAGCACCACTGCTAATCTCCACAATTCACAGATCACCACTGCACCCACTAAGGCTTTTTACAGCCTGCTGTGTCTTCAACAGCTGTTCTCTAGCAACGGCTTCTAACAGTGAAGGTTCTTCAGCTTCCTATGCTCATGACATTACTGTCTGGCAAATATTTTAGAATGTATTTTATAACGAGAATTTAAGAGGCTTATAAATCAATAGTTATTACAGTCATCTTTGCTTCCTTTCTTATACATAGAGAGACCTGCAGCTATGTTTCATTTTCAGGCACATGGCCAGTTCTCCAAAGCATATTTATTAATTCACATAACTGTGTTAATAATTGGGGGGGGGCTATTTCAGCACTTCCATATTAAATGCATCTAAACCTAGTACTTCTTTGATTGTGTTAGTGTTTTCAGTAGTTCTTCTAGATTTCTAGGATCAATATTTTCATCGTTTAGTACTACTAGGAACAGATCTTGTTCTTCAGCCGTTCACACCTGTTAATAATTACCTCCGTTCCTTTGGTGGTATTGGATTAAATTGCGCATTATATAAAAAGTTTAAAGCTATCCCTGTAATGGGCCATGAAGGCCCATAGGGTTGTGAGGCATCAAGGCTCCCACATTTTCTCTAGACAATCAGCTCACAGATGGCAGTAAGGTTGTCAGCCTTACGTGCCAGCCGCCCTTTACCCCCCAGGAAGATTCCTGGTACTCATTTTTATTAGAAGCTGAGTCGACCCCAAGGCCATGGTGCGGCTGGAAGGATTAGGTAAATTGAAAAAAATCCACCCCACCAGGACTCGAACCCATGACCTTCCGGCTTGTAGCATAGTGCCTCAACCAATTATGCTATTGCATGCCCCCTTGTGCATTATATCTAGCATTTTTATCTAAATCTGTTAGTACTGGACTCTCCTTTCCTAAACAATGAGCATGCTTGAACATTTTGACAAACATATTCCCTATTTGAATACTTGAACATAATAATTTTTACCTTTTGTTTGACAAAATGGTCTCTTTCTTTATTCTTACAGCTCTTTCCACTCCTGAAGCACCAGTTATGTGTAAATTTTGATTAACTGTTAACAAAAGACAAAGTAATGAAATGAATATGGTCCTATATTTGTGAAACATGGCACAAGACAACTACAATGACTACTAATTTTTTTTTTAAGTTCTTCATGGCTCTACAGAATATTCCTAATTTGCATTCTTAATAAAGGTCATCGCCTAGGAATAATACAATTACTGGATTCATTTTATATTGATGATACCTTGATGAGGTTTTAATATTTCAAAGAGTACAAGCAGCATGTGAAACAAATTATTAATATACAGTGTCTCATTATGGAAAGCTGCTATTTCATTTATATTCAGAGAAGGTCATTAATAGAAATAGAAAAGTAATCTCCTTGCTTATTCTCAATACTGAAGGGGTTACGAACATCTCAGTCTTCTAAAATATGGCTCTTTGTTACAAAAATGTGTAGACATAAAATATAAAACTCATTGACTTAAGATACATATGTTATGTTTGAAACATTTTTTGAGTAACAAATAATAAACAGCTACCTAGAGAAATTAATTTCTGACTCTGGGCAGTATCTGTGTTTGTATCTTCAACAACACCAATTAAGAATACAAAACCAAAATAACAAATTTGGAAGATACGTGCTTTGCATTGAATTAAAATGAAATGCATTAGCAACTGTGAAAATTTACTTGTGTTGTTATTGTAGTTTAATGTCAGTCCCGAAAAGCACTACTGGGATGTCACATCATGCAGTATGGTAGAAATTTACCAGTGTTTCAGAGGAATGAATTGACTCCCTCATCAGGTTCAAAGAATAAGCCAAGCAAGGAAATAGGCAAGAAGCAAGTAGAACCCAGCATGCTTGTTTGCTTGATTGGTAAGGTTCTGAATTGCCTCTTCCAATACACCATAATAAACAATGCTCATTTCAGACTTTCATGAACGATTTTTTAACATGTTGAAATTTCTGTATTAATAGATGAAGTTCCAGTCCCCTCTAAAAAGACTAATAGCTAAAGACTAAAAGGTTTAAATCAGCATCTCCCAGTGTAAGGAGGTTTAAAGCCTTCGTCATCTTAATCCTGCAGTCTACTCCTCTACACCATTTCCAATGGGACTATGTGAAACATATGGCATCAAAAGTGAAAACCGATAAAACAAAGCATTCAAACCAAAGAATCAGACCTGGATCTTCAGATGTTCTCACACACGTCAGACTACCAATGACTACATGCAGAGCAACAAATGAGCTTCGTACTGAACTTCACTAACATGGTAAACTTTAACACTTTCTATTTTGTTTCACTAGGCTTGCCAAATCTTCTGCAGCCAAACTCTTGGTGGCCTGGTAGGTGGGAGAAGCATTGGGCTTTTCTGCCTTTGCAGACTTGCAATTTTCAGCACATTCCAAGATGATCGCACCAAGCACATTTTGGATAGCGCTTATGTTGGTGTCCAAAGAGCCAGGCTGCAAGCGATCTATAAATATTGCCTGTTTTTGGTGTACTGCAGGAGTTATCTCTTATGCATTGTGGAATGTTTCCCACAAGTCATTTGTTACAATCTAAGAAATATTTACATTTTATACATGTTAATAAATGTATATACAAGATATACAGGGCCTATGTCAATCAAGGCTCAGTACAGCACCTTATGTCCTAATTTCTACTAGCTTCCGCTACAACGGCATTCTAGTCATTTGAACGGTCGTATGCCTGACCGCCGCCAAGTTTAAACCTCTTACGCCTTCTACGCCAGGCTTAGCCATGCCCAATATTGCGAACATTTTCTTTCTCATGATGTAGAATGACTTCTACTTGTTGCCTGCATAATGTTCCATAGTCACAAACGTAGGGCAACTGGAAAGCCATGTGCATTTCGTGAACCGGTGTGCGCCTTGGAAAATTGCCAATGGTGCGGAGTACCTTGTTTCGAGGGCGCTTCAATTTCATTAGATGGACATCTGCCACAAATTCCCAATCGGGACAAACAAAAGTCGTTACATATCTAATGAGAGCTTTGTGGAAGGTCACTTTAATGTTAGCGCCTAATCGCTCACTTTTGAATAAGGAATATCTTGTAATAAAAGTTCTGAGGGCCTTAGCCTCGATCTTTTACATCTGTCGTCTCCATGTAATTTTCTTATCGAAGATTACACCAAGATATTTAACAATAATTACAAATTGAATGTTCCGTCCATGCAAGAAACTCAGGAGCCTCAGGAGGTCTCATTCGGTGAGAGACTAGAGACTAGTAAGCCTGTAATCTGTGCCAGCTTCATATTTTGGTGCCTTTCAATGTGGCGGCTGTTGGTGTTGTGGAGGTTGTGAGTTGTACAGCTTATAGACAAAGTTAATTCCAGATGTTATTTACTATCACAGTACACTACATCAGTTGTTTCCACTAGTCAGATTTTTTAAACATGTTTCGCACTATTACAGTGCATTTTTAGGGGCTATCCAGGTTCCAGGTTATGTAAGCCATGCTGCTACAATCAGGTTTTGTGTCATTGACAAATTAATTCTGCCTTATTCTCTTGAAGTTATTTACTGATTTATTTTCTTAAAATAAATATTTTAAAACTGACATCCACATGAAAAATTTACGTACAGGTAACCAGAATTGCAACCAAGATAAATTTTACAGTAACGAGAATTTTACTATTCACATGTGGTGACTTACACGAAACCTTTTAAAAACTCAGACTTAAGAATGACTTTTATAACTCATAGTACAATACGAAATGTGTCCAGCACTTGGAATATAATGATCGGTAATGATATTGGGTGTACAGATGGAATTATGATTCCTGAAAGCTCACTTTTATGTCAGACACCACAAGCATGTGTAAAGTATCAGGAGAAACCACCGTGATTCAGAATTTGCTATGTACATTTTAAATAATGGCCATGCGTATGTTAGAATATAAAGGAGAATCTTCAAATATATCCACATAGAAAAGGATTTGCTATGTACATTTTAAATAATGGTCATGCATATTTAAAATGAAAAAAAAAAATCGTGAGATATGTTGTCAAAAGAAAGTATAAATGTGAAGGAGAATCTTCAAATATATACACATAGAAAAGCAAGTATTCTAAGTGAGAAACAGAAATGTGAAGAAAGTAGTGATTTCTCTTTTATGTAGCATATGGTATATCAAAAATTGATGCCAAGACATTGCATATAAACGTAAAAAATGCCGAGAAGTGTATTCTGTTTTGATATACTTAATGGCAGTTTTATACCAAACTCAAATTAAATGGTGCATAAGCAGTAATAACTTATGTAAAAAAAAAAAGAAAAATTCTGTATATACTTACTCATATATGTGTTTGGGCTGCTAGAGGGTGTAACATTATTTTCCCAAACACACCACCTCCGTAAATTGTTTAGGCATGTGGTCTCTTTAAATAACTTAAATTTAATCAAAATTTGTAAATTCATTTTCTACAAAATCACAATTTTATGTTTGATGGCCCCAGTTTTTGGAGTTAAAATTATATTTGTTGGGCACTAACCAGCGATGAATAAAATCTGTGTAACCATTCAGATGTTAATGAGCTCCACATGTAGTTGACAGACATGGCACTTTAGAAATCACTTTTTTGTATTCAATTCAGTTTTATTTCATCCATGAATCATTATACATGATATGGGACAAGTCAAAGATTAATATTAATACTAATACTAAATAGTAATAAGAATATAATAATACAGAAATAGTATGCCAAATTATAATAAATGATAATAATAATAATAATATAGTAATACAGAGTATACAAGGGTGCTGAAAACATGTAACTTTGTCAAAAACTTTAAGATTGATTTCTTCTTTATCACAGTACTTTCTCATATATACTACCTATATGAGAAGATGAAAAAGATAAATGCAGAGTTGCAGTAGTTTTGAATATGTTAAAGAACACAGGCACATGGTACTCATTCCAAGGACAGATATGGATACAAATGAAGCTAGGACAGTTCAGTGCTCACTGATGTATCTACCTTAGCATTTGAAGATCTAAGAACACCAGTCTGCTTTTACCGGTTCTCACGGTCGCTTGCAGATTTCTTATATTTTTTCTTCTACCCTGAAGATGGAGGCGATATGTTCCTCCGAAACGTCGGTTAACACCACATATACACAATGCCAAATCCCAGAAGACTGCTTTCTTCATCTAAGAATGAATTACAATTAAAATTAATTTTATTAAATTACAATCTTGTGATTTGTTAAATATCCAGAATATTATCCATGTATGCTATTCTGATAATGTTTAGCAAGTGATGAATATAGTGATAATACAACAGCCAATTTGATAATTATGATGTAATATTGACAAATAGCTCTATATGTTTTATTATTTAGACAATTTATGGTATTGTGGCATATTTGCTCAAGCCAAGGACTGTGATGCCAGCAGGGACAGTCATTCCTAGGGAGCAGCTCTACAAACATATCCATTGGTAGGCAACAGATTTGTGGCATGTAACACTGGAGTAACTTATGTGACTGGCCCCAGAGGATGAACTGTAGTAGTTGAAAATATCTTGGGATAATGTGACTAATGTGAACAATTGATGTATTTTATTGTGAAGGTAAAGAATGTATATTATATGATAATACAAAAACATGGCTCCCAATGGAAAATTTTTAACAAAGGTGTATGGCATTTTAATTGAGCGTAAGGAATAGCGAATGGAAATGCAAGAAATTCTAAATGATTTTTGGATAGCTTTCTTACTGTAGTTTGTTTATGTTTCATTTATTAATTTCAAGAGTGACGTAATCTGTAACTTTGTTTGCTGGCTTGGTCATCCAAAATTTATGAATGTGTATTTTTATAAGTCACCTTTACAGTCAATGACTTAATACCCTTCACAGAAGTTATGTCAGAAATAGAACAGCAGCAAGAAGAAGAACGTGAAGTATTGTTATCAATATATGACGGTGATCCAGCATTTAAACATCTTCCTCCCACTACATTTCAGTATAAGGTAGAGGCTTTCAGACTTGAAATGGTAATTATATATTTGGGGGAAATTACTATGGTGTCATCATGATGTCACTTTTTTTTGTTTTATCAATAATGGCAGTATGGAGAAGATGAGAGGCCAAAATCATTCTTGTTGGAAATCTCCTGGGGTTCATCATATCCTTCAGAAAAACCATCTGTCAGCATGGATACCTTTTACAATAAACATGTGTAAGTTATACATGTTAGAATACTAATATTTTGAACAGAGTCACTTTTAGTTAACAAGATCTGCATGTAATGGACAGAAGAAGGCAAACAGGCAAATAATTCAGAAGATCTGACAGTCTTTCAGAATTATAGATCAGGTAGAATGGATGGATTGGTCAATGAACCATGATGTTCAGGTTGTGGAGCAGGTCAAAATACAGTGCATAACATGTAAAAAATGCTTCAGATACCTCTGATGAATAACGTAAGAATGGCTAAGTTCTGTGCCTAAACAGATAATTACCCTTGAATAAGTGACACATCACATGAGAGTTCTACATACAGCACATTTAAACAAAGCTAATAATACAGTAAAAACCCATAAATGAGCCTACATTTTAAAAAGTCAGTGTAAAGAATATAAGGAAATAAAAGTACAGTAAAACTTGGTTATAGCAACATCGGTTTCTGCGACACCTTGTCTATTGCGTCAAATATTCAATGGTACGAACTAATTCCTCATAAAGCAACTGTTTTTATACCTTGCTTAGTACGACATGCACAAATGCATCAACCTCGTATGTAACGTCATTTTCATTCCTGAATTTCTCTGATATCGTGGGAAAGTTCGATGTGTCTGCCCACCCTCACTTTCTCTACTTGCTGACGTGACTGTCCTGGAAGAATACGACCGCGGGCTGCAAGAGGAGCGTGGGTTTTATGCAAAAACAAGGGTGTGGTTTGGGACTGCGTGAATAGTGCAAGAGGACGCGGCAGGTTGTTAACTGCATTCCTTTCCTAGAATCTCGTCTAACAGGACCTCACATTGTCTACTTACCCTATAGTGTTCCTGCCTAAACCCAGAGAAGTGCAGTAGCGAAAACATGGCAATGAAAAGGAAAGTTTTAAGCATTGAAGAGAAAGTTAAAGTGATTCGTGAAATATTGTGTGTATTGTCAGTGAAAAGCGCTGTAATATGTCTTTGATATTACACATTTGGGCAATTCCACGTTAATGTTACGTTAGTCTGTACTTAACTACGTATTTCACTAAAAAATGCAACATTTTAACTCGGTTTTTGGTAGATTTTTACGTGACTAACATAAGGCTACCGTGGAAGTGCCCATTTCGGTTACAACGACATTCGTTTATAACGACACTATTTTTAGGTCCCTTTGATGACGTTATAACCAAGTTCTACTGTACTTGTATTCTACTTGAAATCAATAAACACTGTAGTTACAATCTTCTACATTCATTTCAAATTTATTATATAAATTTAATGTGATAATGATGAAAATCTGGTGTTCTAGTACACTGAAAATTAAATATAATTGAGTGGAATTATTGACCTTCAAGTGAATTTTGGGAAGGTGTCTTGAATAAGTGACATTAAGTGACTGAGGAAACATATGCTGGTTTGTATTTCATATATAACGATAAGACTAAGTAAGTGAGCACTGTTGTAACACATCATCTCATGCAGTGAGAATTTTAATCGGGTTGACAAGTTTACTGCTCCGCCCTTTGTGGCGACTGGTGTACTACATGCTGCAGGACGCATGCGAGTTTTGCTGATGACTCAGCATGCTTGATGGCAGATAACGTTTGGAATGAAGGAAAATAATTAACTTTGTAGAACTATACTTTGCATAATGTTTATATTTTGTCAGCAGTAATCAGCAATTATCAAGGCCATGAGCCATTTGTTCCCAGTTTACAGTTAGTCAGCAATGTGGCACGACATGCTTCGCAATACTTCAGAGCAACATGTATTTGTATATGACACCTACGTGAAATATGGATCTGCTAGAAAGTGTCAGAGAAAATTTCAGTGTAAATTTCGTGATGAAAGAGTTCCCAGCAGCCAAACAATTCATAATTTGGTGAATAAACTTAGAGCAACAGGACTCTTAATAGACAAGGAAAAAAACATAAGTACCAAGTGTTTACTGATTAGGGAGATGACATAGGGACCAGACTTGAACATACACCTACAAAATTACTGAAACGTCTAGCTCAGGAGACTGGAGTGTCAAAGTCTAGTGCAGGAACAGCAACACAGTTGCTGAAGTCTTCTAGTGAAAGTTGGTGTCTGGTGTGCCATAAGTTCAAGAAGGATTGTTGTACATGTGCTTTTAACAAAACAGTTGATTGTGAAATATGTGTACATGCAGAGGGACAGCATTTTCAACACCTCTTCTGATCGGTGAACAAAGGTACGAACTTCCCTTCATTCCAAATGTTATCAGCAAAGTTTGCGTGCGCCGGTCACGGTGAAGCATGGAGCTGTGAACGCGTCAAGTTCATTAAAAACCTCCCTATATTATTAGGTGCACAGTTTGATTTGTTATTCTAGGAGGCACCCTCAGTTCCCCTATGTGCATAGCAAAATATATAATAAATCACCTTACCTTATCCTTTTCTGTTTGCCATTAATGTACCTGCCTTACAGTATCTTGTTTGGAGCTCTGTAATCTAAGGAACTGGTATGAACAAGCATATATATGTATATACCTATGGGGATTCCCATATTTTTAATTTGATATGTGTCACTGTGGTATAATGCTCTGTTATTGTTTGTTATGACAGTGTTCAGGATGTGAAAGAGAGAGTTGTGTCTCAAGTGAATATGGAAGCAGAACAGTATCTAGGCACTGCTATGACATACACACTCTTTGAGTTTGTGAAAGAGAGGCTCGAAGAATTGCTGGCTGGCCAACCAGAGAGCTACATCAGTGATGTGACTGAAAGTGTAGACAGGATAACTATATCTGGAACACAGGTAAAAATCTAAGGCACAGTTTGGAGCAGTAGCATGTGTCTAACAATGTATGAGGGTTGTTCAGATGAAACCTGTTCAGAGCTTATTCAGGGTAAAGCCATAGAGACTGTTAAATATAGCCCTGTTGGATGTTATAAGGCATCCTGTTGACACACCAGCTGATGGATCCCCTCCACAAAGAATGGGCTGGGCTTCTGCTCTAACCACTGCACTACAGCAGTCCTGATGTCTCCTTCCAATTAAAATTTATGGCACATAACACTTTCTTTGGGAGGGAGGAGGGCAGAACACATTGAAGTTACACTATAAGTTGAGTCTGTATGGGGGACGGTTCAACTCCTTGCAGCACATGAACACAGCAAGTCCTGGACAGTGGGGATTATTTTTAACACCCTTTCTTTCTTCCCTCAGAACAGTTCAACATATTCCTGTTAGCCATCTTTCATAAATGAGGTTCGAAATGACATTAAACTCTGTGATTTTAGTCTGCAAGCAAACTATACCGACCAAGTGAGTGCCGCTTGTCGGCGAAGTTTAGTGCCAACTTTTGCGGATAGAGGGTGTCGCGTGGTCAGCACAATGAATCCCCACTGCCGTTAATTTCGGTTTTCTAGACCGGAGCCGCTATTTCCTTAAAATAGCTCCTCAATTATCATCACAAGGCTGAGTGGACCCCGTTCCAGACCCACTACTTCTCCGAAAAAATCTGGTAGCGCCGGGAATCGAATCTGAACCTCTGGATCTGTAGCCAGGAATGCTGACCACTAGACCACAGAGGCGGTACTCATAATGACATTAGGAGAATAATTTTGGAAATGCTCATTGTTCAGTTTGAAAACTGTTATCATCCCAACTATTTTCCAAAGTGCTGATACAGGTCATCTGTTAATGTTAGGATAGTGAAATCTGGATAGAATTGAAAAGGTCAGAGCTTCAGTGAGGAAACATCTTTGGAAATGAAGAATTCTGTCTACTGGGATGTGACACCTTGTAGTCTGATAGAAATTTATTGATATTTTTGAGAAATGTGCCATCTTCAGGTTTGAAGAGTAAGCTGAGCAAACAAACATCAAATTTCTACCAGATTACACATCTTCATAGTCATAACTGTGCGAACCTTAGATCTCACTGTTCGAAAATGTCCATTTGGTATACCTTGAAGAAAATAAGAGCATAGCATTAAGCTAGATCTTATGGAGAGTTGCTGTAAGGACAAGAGGTGGATGAAACTAGCTCAGGATCATGCCCAATGGTTTGCTTTGGAATTAGCAGTGTGAACATTTTGGATCTGCTGCTGTAGTGCTACTAAGCTGTATTCTATACGTTACTCATTTGCTCCTTTGTGATCAGTACCACTTAGACATAACATGCAACAGATATATGGTGTTCTAGTGGATAAGCAGTATCATATTAAGTTAATAAACAGGAGAATTAGTTGTTGCTGATCACAGTGGCTGCATGGTCTAAGGCATATACAGTCTTCATGCCACATTGACACAGGCTGCTGGTTCAAATTCCACCAAAGGTGTGGGTATATGCCTACATGTATTGTGTGCTTGTGTTGTCTTGTGCTGGTAGAGGCTGTACTTAAGGCAAATCCACCATCCAAGGAGTCCTTCCAAACTGTCATTGAGTTGCTAGGAGGAGGGTAGGTGACCCACTAATGCTGCCATTAATACATCTAATTATACAGGTTCCAAGGGATAAATACTACATAATTTGCAGTTATTTACAAATATAATTTACATATTAACACATGATATATTATCATAGAATTCCCCATAATTTGATTAAATTTAGAGGTTTTGCTGAACTTCAGCATTCTTAATACTCTGGTATGGTAGGACAGGTCTCATTGTGGTTGATCACTGAAGCTCGTCTGATATTAATATTGTTAAAGTGTTGAGTGGCTTGTTATTCAGTGATTTGACCTACTGTTTGAAGTGAGTAATGTTAGTGCAGAGCGTCTAAGGAAGATCTCCATGGTGTGACCGCTTCTTGACGGTGGAGGTGTGGACAAAGCTTCTGCATTTCAAGGTCATGGAATGATATTGTGTGCATGACATACCGACTTACATAGGGACTGCAGGCTTCTCATAAGCAATTCCTTTTTGTCAACATTAATTCCCTCTCATCTCACGTATGCATTGACTTACTTTCCCTATGTCAGCTTTACCAACCTGTGTTACCATAAAATATTGCAAGAATCTTGGCATAAGGACTGCTGTTTCAGCATCATTGTGGCTTTCATAACATACTGAGTTCATTTTACCTTGGGTGTTCTGTCATGATACTTTCGTAAGGGGATTCAGTTGCAATTAAATAAGAAAAAGTCATTATAGTCGCAGGTCGTAACAGTAATATTAAAAATTTCAGACATTAGTTCTGAATTGGAGCAAGCCAGAAGGTCTAATCCATAAAGGCTGAAGAAGAAGAATTAGTTCTAATGATAACAACAAAAACCATAATAATAATAATAATAATAATAGAGTAAGTAACCTTTGTTCAGACACGCCCAGAAAATTAGCCAAATACGTGCAGCTTGCAAAGAAATTAAATTTGATGTGGATAGCATTATTATATGTAATAAGTTACCATCATTATCTATGACAAAGGTGATAAATTAGTCTGATATATGCATGCACAGTCACTGAACGTGGCACTGCATTTGTATTAAAACCTGTTCATCTTCTTTGACAGGAACTGGAATCAGCCTCTAAAAAATCAGTAAAAAAGGAACAGCTAAGCAAGGCACAGTGAAGAAAGCAGTGGGATCGTGTAGATGGAAAAGGAGACAAACCTCGGGGTTGGGATTGGGTTGATGTAGTGAAACACTTATCACAGACTGGATCCAAACAGTCTCCTGACAGTGAGCTTCCATCAACACCATTGCCACCACTTAGTTTCTAATGCACATATGTTGTCTTCATCAGCAAACAGTATACAGAATATTTTTATCAGTGATGTATATGCAGGTACTAAACAAGACATTCAATTGACAGTTTAAACAAAAACAAATTCTCCTACTTTTGCGTGCATAACAGAGATATATAATTAGATTGTGTGTTCAATTTTTAAATAGCACTTCTCAGTCCTTTATATATGACATATAAATATATACCCTCCAGTGAATTGTGGATTTATCAGCCTCATAATGTGGCACTAAGTTAGCCTGAAGTAGCTAGCATATGCAACATATACATACATGTAACAAAATAAAATTTATTTTGTTTTTAAGGAAATTTAATTGTACATTTTCATGGGATACAGTATGTAAGCTTGTGTACATATATTTTTTTATTTCAGACAAGTCTAAATATGTGAACTGAGAATTAGTAGATAACGTAGGTAGACATAAAGTTAAGCGTGCCTATCTTCGATAAGAGAATATACACATGTTATATATATATGAAACTGTACGTAAAATTAATTATAAGTACATTACAGATTATAAATTGCATTCTTTAATAATCATTACAGACTGCAATGGTATTTAGGTTGTAAGTTTTGGTAGTGAAGCCCAATAAAATAAAATATTTTTATTAAAGAGTTTATTTTTCTGTCTGGTACCTGGTTGCTGTTAACAGTGTTATAATGATTTGATTATGAACAGTGGTTCTTGCATGAAGTTCTGCTACCTTTTCATTTTACACAGTATGAACTTGCCGGGCTTCAGCTGACATGAGAACAGCTCTTTGGAAATTAGAATGAGACATTTTTGTGTGTAATTAGTTCCATCTCATCTAAATCAAATCAGTTTTGCTTGTCCAAGTCTCTCCATTCGCCTCTCCATTCATCAACTGTAATATGGTGACTTTCTATATTCCAGCCTGAAAATACAATATTCCATTAATACAGGAATTTTCTATTTCTGAATAACTGCAGCACCTAGTAATAGGATTGTCTAGCTGACAGATTTAAAGTGAATACTTCATCCGTGTTCATTTTTGTAACATAATGATTTTTTACGGTGAGGAGTTGTTAGCCCCACTCCCAACCCCCAAGCTGGAGGGCCACCCCTTGGTGGCTGTCCACGACTGTTTATTCAATATATTCACAGCTTCCCTCCAAAACTGGAGGGTGTCTCCTACATCTGCAACCTGGGGACGTGCCATGCTGTTGTGATGGACCCACCATAAAATGCTGGGAATTTCTTGAGTAGCTGCAGAATTGGCAGCTCCTCCAGAAGGGCTCAGCTCCATGAGCAAGTAAGTAAGTAAGCAAGTAAGTACTTCATCCATGTAGGTCATACAGTGCCAAATATGATAAGATTCAGTAGGTAAGAATGAAATTTTTGAAGTACCTATCCTGATATACGAGGGCTATTTGGAAAGTAACCTCCAGTGGACTGTTAACAAAATAATGAGAGAAAAATGTTATTGTATACAAAAAATATATACATACTTGATCTACTTTTCTCTGTAGTCACCACAAGAATTTAGGCATTTGTCTTATCAGGGAATAAGTGTTTATATGCCTGTGTCAAAGAAGTCTGCTGCCTGCGAGCACAGCCATGTTTTGACACCTGTCAACTCCTCATTATTGCTGAAGCACTGTGATCCCAACCAGTTCTTGAAGTAGGTAAACACATGGTAGTCGCTCGAAGAGATATCAGGGCTGTAAGGAGGATGGTTAAACAACTCCCACTTGCAATGCTCCAGCAGTGCTTGAGTGTGAACAGTTGTACTCATATGTGGACATGCATTATCATGGAGAAGGACTACACTAGATGTCAGCATTCTATATCTTCTGAATGGCCCTATGCAGATTGTTTTAATGTTTCGCAATACACTTCTGATGTTATTGTGTGCACGCCCTTCTAGTCCCAGAAAACAGTGCCATCAGCTGTCTGGCAGACTTTTTCGGCTTGTTTGGTGAATGTGTGTATATCTACATTGCTTTGACCACTGTCTGGTTTCAGTCTTCACAAATGAAAGCCAGGTTTCATCATCTTATACTCATATGATATGATTGAGAAATTCATTGCCATCTTTGTACTATTGCTCTAAAAGAATCAAAGCTGAAGCCATTCTCTGCAGTTTGTGCACACCCATGAGCATTTTCAGAACTCACCGTGCACAAAACTTTTGATAATTTCATAGACAACAGTGCATGAAATATATGGAAATTCACACACAATTTCCGACATTGTGAAGAGCCATCTTCCACAAGTTTTTGAGCAACACTTTAAACAAGATCATCACTCACTACAGATGGTTGGCTGACCACTTCGCTCATCATTGTGAACATTTGTTTGCGCATCTTTGAACATTCTACACCACTGTCTTAAGTTCTTTTACTTATTACATTTTGGCTGTAAACCGCCATGCATAATTCACAATGGATTTGTGCAGCACTCATATTTTTAGCATAGAAAGCAGATAACAGTGTGAATTTCATGGGTGGTGGGCTTGTCAGTCAAAGGACACATCATAACCCACTCTGTAGAGACAAGAACAAACACAAGGTGACCAGTTATGTGGTGCAACCTCCCATGTGCGAGCTCACCCCTGCTCCTAACATTAGTTGATTAAAATAAATGGAGGTTACTTTGCAAATAGCCCCCTGGAGAGACTGAAGAAACCCTGATAGCCAGGAACTGTAGAGGGGTTCAAAATAGGTTTACTGCTAAGTATGAATTGGTTCATTCTGTGTCTAGTCAACATAGTTTAGTGGCAAAATTTTATGACCACCTCTGATTCTAATAAAATTCTGCAAGTTTGTTGGGTCTCTTTAGGGTGTGGTCATTATAAGCAAATTCACACAATCTTGGAATCTTCGCACGAACTTGAAGTGGTAGTACTGCAAGCAATGTTGAACAATTTGTCAGTGATTGTGGATCCCGAAGGAGATATGTGCTTGGCAAAAGACTGTTTCACAGTTCTCACCAAAGAGAGTGCCAAATAAATGAATTTTATGATGACAAACTTAATTACATATTTTTTTATAAATTGTGCCTGAAACCAACCAAATTTTATTAATATTCTGAGATGGCATTTGATATATACAATTATATTGTAGCATGTAGACCCATTGCTAAGTAATGACTCTTTACACAATGCCCATTGCTAGGCAACAGAGTCCTAACACACCAATTGACTAACTGTGAAGAGGTATTCTCTGCATGGTCTGTGCAACAGCTGTGTGACGCAACAATAGAAGAACTGTAGGAGCAGCGTTTTCTATGCAGACCATGCTGACGTGTTATAAGCAGGACGAGCCTGGAGTTTGGTTAGTTGGAAGATAGTCGCCAACTGGTAAAGTCTTGAACATGGAAGCTGAGGAAGCTACAACATTGAAAACCATTACCAGGCAACGACTGTTGAAGACACAGCAGACTAAGAAGACTTAGTGCATGCTGTAGTGAATTGTAGAGTGCGTGAATTAGTGATAGCCCTATAGTTACTTGTAGTTGCAATCTGTAAGTGTTCAATAAATCCAGTTACCAACCAAAACCCTGTCTATAGTTATTCATACATAGGGTGATATATTAAGTGCCGTTGAGCCTGCAATATGGAGACTGCAATTTCTGAAATTTATTTCATCACCATAATGGCTGAGAGTAACACTAAGGTAACCTATGTACAGTTCTTTTATTTACTGTAATTAATTACATACAGGTCTTTCTTTACTGAAAATCTGTATAATAATGTGAGTTACTAGTTTTTGCTGCAATAACAGTCAGTTTCTTATTAGTGGCTGTAGTATGAGTCATAGGGGAAGGAAATGATGTTAACATTGGTGACACTGAACACATCACATCAATAAAACCTGCCGGCAATTTCATATGAAAGACATTTCTTATTATTTAGAATTGGCAGAATCAGCAGTCTGGTAGAAGTTCATCAACATTCCAGAGGAAAACACTGCCTCCATCTTTGGGGTCAAAGGGTAAGCCAAACAAGAAATAGTTGGCAAGCTGAGTCAATGAAGAGATTACCTTCTGGTATGTAATGTCGTGTAGTCTAGTTAAATCCACTTGACATTTCGGAAGAATGTACGGCCTCCATCTTCAGGGTCAAGGATAACTGTCACTGTTATTGAAACCTTGAGAAATATAAGAATTTGGATCTGTCATGTCTCACCATTTTGACATAAAAATGTGTAAAGAACTTCATTATTCGACCAGTAATCTTCTGCATTCTTATGGATGTCATGTGCCATGTGAATAATAATTGCTAGAAACAAACATTCAGATACTGTGACATCTGGTACTGGAGAAGGTCCATCATCAAGGACATGTTAAGTACTGCTGGTAGAATTAGTTGTTCTCCACCAACAAAACGATAACAGCTGCAGAATACAGCGTGAAAATACTGTATGGAGTCCAGTCTTTGTTTTTATGGTGTGCAGTGTTCTGTCTTTTTCCAGTCATATCATCGTCTATCCCACCCATCAGTTATCCTCACTTTGACACCTCTTGGGACAACTCTAAAGAAAAGAATTCCCTCTTTTTCATATGCATGTTGTATGTCAGTTCATGTCAACTTTCATGTCAGTAGCTGTAACAAGAGTACAGTAGAAAATATGGGATTCCTTCAATTCCTCTGTAACACTTGTAGATCCTACTAACTAGGTACAAATAATTTTTAAGGAGTTTGTTGATACAAATATGGAGATAACATAAAATATTAAATTTTCTTCTCTGTTTGTTTGCTCCCTTCTACTCCCTTAGCCAAAACTTCACTAAACATTACTAAGTTAGACACAGACCAAAACATTCATGCAGCACAGGATTCAGATGTCTGAGTGTTACAACATGTATATAATGCCCTGCCTCACATATTTTTTTTTTTAATCTGAAGGAAGTCATACAACATTGAAGTACCTTGTTTCTGTATGCTTTCTAGAAATTCTGGAAATTCCTTTGAGACTGTATAATCTGTAGCCATCATGGGTACCACAGGAATTCTCTTGTTTCTGGAAACTTCATTGGTTGTGCTCAATCTCACCAGTGCTTCTTGTAGGTGGTGAACAGGACACGCTATATGTGATGAGTCACTCTGTGGTTTACTTAGCACCATCTGTGAAACAAACAACTAGCATAATAACAATTTCAGGCATTTGTAACATAGTTTCAATGAACAGTGCTTTAATTTCTTACCAGTGGATGCTCCCTGGTTATACATATCGCAATGCCCAACATCACTGCATGGAAATATCCTTGAATCACGTCAACTGCTCTCTCTCCTTCTAAAAAAGTCACAAACATTCTCTTGCCTCTAGTGTCAACTACTATCAGGTACTTCTTTGAATGATAGAAACTGGCTAATAGCTTAATATCTTCAGCAGATACCTTACTATAAGCCATGACATTCTGTAATGAAGCCCCCAGTATGATCTGGAATCCACACAAGTCTGGATCTGTTAATAGAAAATGTACACAGAAATGTAGTAAGGAAATCAAGTCTATATCTATCAATTGCCTCCATCTTGCTGTTTCACAAAGTCGGTTCTGTTGAATAGATTTGTGAACAAGAGATTTTGTGACACTACAGCTACACTGACTCATTCTATGATTTTTTTAACATATCTGAAAATCTGATGTTCTCTTCTTGATATGCATGATGAATTTCTGATACAACAAAAACCATTCAACCATGCATATGCTTCTAGTCCACCCCAAGTCCCTACGTTTAGATAAATTTTGCAAAAAATAAAATAAATACTGCCAGGATAGTGGCTAGGCTATCAGCAGAACAACAGGGGTTAAGATAAATGGTTATTTGTTAACTGTTAATTAATCACAATTCATATGTTACTAAAATACACCATTTCAAATTATACATGAGAAGAAATACAATAATTTTGGTTTAAATGAATTTAATTGTTTTCTCATTAATCCTAACACAACTGTTGAGAACTGGAACTATGAATCTAGAGTATGTATTAACTGATATTATGCTTTTATGATGGTTCATCGGTAATGTTGATCCTGCTCTTAAGTATTTGCGCTCCCACACAGTGAAAGTACCCAAAAGCAGGATTGCTGATGTGTATTACTTGCCACTGTCCAGATGTTCTACCCTCCCATGTCTCTGGTCAGGATTCACAGTCTGTGTTAATATTCCATCTCTGTTGCTCTTGCCATGATGGCTTTGGCCATGGACAGAATCACTACTGGACAATCAGTTCTCTGTCCCTACAAGATCAAAGGTCATTGCGCACTATTTGTTACTGTGGTGCTATTTTCTGCTCCATGTCAATTTAAACTTCCACACCGTCCCCCTTTCTGACTAGGAGCAACTGTTGCTGTTAGATGGTGGCATGCTTTTGTCTTTCATTAAATTGGTTCTCCACTACCATTGATTCAATAAACATGCTGGCACTTCTAGGAAACTGAAACAGGTTGAGGAGGAAAGTGTCATGAGAATAATGTTCTTGTCAGTGGGGTTTCCATGTCAGATATGCTGTATTGGGTGCCTTATTGCATTCAGTACAGAGAAGGAGGTTGCAATGTCTTATGTTAAATTGGCAGTAATATGAAGTGAATTTGAAATGTGCAAAAGATGAGGAAATTACAGTTTAGAGTTATAATTATAAACTGTGAGGAAAACTATAGAAATAGCAGTTTTTCCTCTTCTCAGTATTATGCAGCCATAATCTTCATATTATATTACATTATATTCTGAAAAGTAGTATTCACATGTTATATGCTGCGATTTTCATGTGAACGTTTCGTTAAGAAAATCCCATAAATTATACGTGTAAATACAGTGTTGTGTTGTATACTGTATTCAGGATATTAGCCATATTGAGGCATCTCAAAATATGGTACTCGCTGTATCTCTAATTATTGCTCTTAAATTAATTGGAGATTCATTTTTGCCCAATAAATGCCTTTTAAAGCATGCATCCTCTATGTAGAATGAGGAATTGATGTGTACAGTCAATTAGTGGGGTAAAGGTGTCCCTGGGCTTAATGAACATTTTCACATTGTGAAGATGTACTACAGAAGTGGAGGTATAGCTTCATACATTCTTAAGTTCTTAAGCCTTGGCACTAGATGGAGGTGAGTGGTCAGCTTCATGCCCTGGCTGCTTAACTTCCAGAGAAACAACTGGTATTCATGAGAGTGGAGGGCCCTGAGCTGGTCTGGATGTGATGAGGAAAAAAGAATATTGTCTCCTGCTGGGAATCACACTTCAGTTGTACATCCCAAACAGTTCATTAGTTGTATCAAGAATATATATGTCAGTAGACATACCTAAATCAATGATGGAGGCCAAATCACAAAGATTGCATTAGGGCACTCTGTGTACTCCAAACTTGTGTGCATCTTTCCCTCTTACTTTCATAACTCACTCATACAGTGGCATTAATGATTCTAAAAGCTCCAGTGAAGTCCATAATTTTAATTTCATAAGATTTTACTGTAATTTATATATTCTTATTACCAGACATTCCTGTTCCCAATACTACTGTTTCATTTCTGTTGATAACTTCAGGTGAAGAAGCCATATTTGTGCCAAGGTATGTTTGAAGCAACAAAATAAGACGCGCTTTGTTTAATGTTACCATCTTGAGAGACAGTACTGCTTGGTAGTTGGCATATAGGTGGATAACAGTGAAGATGGTGAACAGTTGCCAAACAAACCTGTTTGTTTAGAAAAGAAGGCATCAATCTACAATACATAAAATACATTAACAATGCGTATTCAAAACTGAAACAAAATTATTTAACTGTTATCATGCAGGAGCAGGGGTTTTAAACCTCCCATATGAACAGTTAAGTTATTGGATCCTCTGCTGGTGCAGAGAAGCAGTCAAAATCTATCAGGGGCTTTCATGAGGTCCACTGGGGTGGGAGAGAAGGAAAAATGTCTCTTGATGGGGGTGAGTAGCCTGACCATCAAGAAGAAGAAAACAGACTGGCTAGCAGAAGAAGCAGGCCAGGAAGAGGAAGGCTAACATCAAGGAAACTTAGGGGTAAACTGGAGTTCAATTGCAGATCAGCTAGGACCATGGTGGGGGCTGCCATCTCTGTCAGTAAATGACATAGGGCAGCTGGAGATATATTGCCATCAGTATTCCAAGTGAAAAAATGTCTTCCTGTAGTGGATGGCTCTGCTGCAGAGAGGCAGTCAGAATCTCTCAGGGGCTCTGGTGAGCAGTCTATGAGGGTTAGATTGAAAAAGGTCTCCTGATGGGAGTGAGAAACCTGACCATCAAGAAGTCCTGGACTGGCTAGAAGAAGTGGGACAGGAAGATAGAGGCTCTCATTGAGGAAACAAAGAGCCTGACTGGAGCTCAGCCTCAGGAATGGCTGAAGCTTGGTTGAGAGCTCAGATGGGACTGGTGATGGAAGCACAGGAGTTCTAGACACATTCCACAGAGGGCAGCTGGAGAAGTGCCACAAACAATCCAAAATATGAAGACTCCACACATCATAGGGTTTGTGTGTTGGAGCCTGTGCTGCTATAAAAAATCAGTCAAAATCTCTCTGGGGCTATGGTTAGTGTCCACGGAGGGTGAGGCAGAAAGAGGTCTCTTAACTGGGATCAAGAGTCTGACCATCAGAAAGAAGAAAGAGACTATCAGAAGAAGTGAACCAGGAACAGGAAGGCTGTCCTCAAGGGAAGGATCCAGCTGGGACCCATGGTAGGGGCTCTGCTGTCCTTCAGAGGACAAAGAGTGGTTGGAAATATGCTGTGGTCAGTACACGAGAAGAAGACACTTGTCAATGCCCAACTTTGGCTGGACATTGAACAATCTTTGGTTCTGAATGGTTAGAACTGAGGGCTTCAGTTTGGATGGTTCTGGCTCTAGTATTACAGCTGAGGCGCTTTAAAGATCCCAAGTAAAACCAGGGGTGCACAGTGGACCCAGCAGTAATCCATGTGCTTGGGGTGACTGAAGGTTGTCTTTTCCAAGTCAACATAATACACGAGCCTTTCAGTACTACAGAGGTGGTATCCATGTTTCAATTAGGGGATAACAGTTTACTTTCAGGGAATAATGGATTTTAAATCTCTTACTTCTGGAGGTCTGGTGGTCATATTATAATTTGAGGCTAATAGTATTAGTACTGAAAAAATGTAATGCTTGGCCAGCTGCACTGCATAATAAATTCAGTACATGACTGAGGAAGGTTAAGTATGTACAAACAATATAGAAGAGACATAGCAGCAGACCTGGCATTACAGCATGTTCTAAATTTTTAATGCTGTTTGGTATCTCGTGCCTGCAGGTGTAGTCTATACTGACCTTTCTGGATATGGCCCACCTAGACAAAGGTTATAATCCACTTCGAGGTAGTGGCATCCATATGGTGGATTCTGTTGCCCCTAATGCTAGGGTTATTAAGAGAATTATGGTCACCAGAGTGAACTCGAAGCTATGGGGGGAGTATACTCCACATTCCATAAATTTAGTAGAAGTGAAGGTTTTGATCTTTCAGCCAAAAAATCCGCATATATATCGGACATAAGATTGAACTTCTTTAAATTACTTACTCTCCTTCATTAAAGGTGGCCAAAATGATGATGCCCACAAGAGATGCACATAAGTTGACAAACGTTTCTTGACTCCCATCCTTTGCTGAAACATCTGCCATATTGTTTCTGATCGCCTGAAAATTTATTGTAAAATCTGTAACTACTAAATGATCCCATACTTGGAGGAATATCACGCAAGTCACGAAAAGAAGATGTGAAGATAATTAACACCAGGCCCACTCCATCCCCATTAAGATTTCCTTTAGTTATAGTTCTCCCAGTATAATGACAACAATAACAACAATTAAGTCCATGGTAGCAGAACCCAAAGAACTAGCACCGCTGTTACCAAAGTCTGTGAATGGACATGGTCCTGAGCTATTTCCCTCACAACCTAACTTCTTAAAATTCATCTTAATATCAGCCTTCTGTCTCCCAAGTAGTCACTTTCTAAGAATATTTCCACAAAAATTCTTTATATATTTCTTGTCACCTCCATCTGAGCTGCATGTCCAGCCCATTATTAAGCTTCTGGATTTCACTATCATAATAACAATACATAATATCTACAAAAAACAAAGATCTTTGCCATATTCTAAATCATCCACTCACATCATCCTTGTATGTGCAGATATTTTCTAAGTTTTGAAACACCTGTATTTTATGTCCTATTTTTAGTGGCCTCCGTAGTCTAGAGGTAACGTTCCCACCTCATGACTCGTACGCCGGTTCAAATACCCGGCGGAGGTCGTCGAATTTTTAAGGGCGGAAAAATTCAGGGAACAAGTCCTCCGGGAGGGACTTTAAGCCGTGGGTCCTGTGTCGTAGCTTTACGCCACGTAAAAGAACCTCATATCTCCAAAGGAGGTCACTGAGCTAAATTACGGATGTTTCCCGCCCAACAGCAGTCTCTAATACCTCTGGTAGATGGGGGAACCATTATAGATACCTCTCAGCTAGTAGAGCCGGTCTCGCTGGCTGGGCGGGACTGATGGTACGCACCAGTACCGGTAGGATATAGAGACTGGTAGAAATCATAGAGGGAAGCACAATGGACCAATACAGGTCTAAGTGCATTGGGAAACCCACCCTCTCCAATAACTAACTAACTATGTCCTATTTTCAAAGAAGTAAGAGATCATGTTCTACGATAATATAAAACAGGCGGGTGCATTAGACGTATCAGTCTTTACCACTTTAAAAAGTAAATGCCATAACAACAACGATTTGTATTATAAATTACAAATTTAATTGTTAATTCCAAGTAAATTTCTGAATAAATTATAATGGGAAAACTAGGATCTTACATTACATAAGTAAATAGCTTTGTAAAATAAGAAAATTAACATTACAATACAAATGGGTAACACATAAATGAACCCCACTTCAGTATTTCATGGTCATTACTTCAGAAACATTTTTGTTTATAAGTTGTTTAACTAAGCTGTATCAACTTGGGTTTATTTAGTTTTAATTGGGATGAGAGGATCATTGTTTCTTTCTTGCATTAAGTTGCATTGGTTATATAATGTGGAATGACAGGATTATGAATGCCAATCGACATAGGAAGTGTCAAGTCCTATATTAAGGTACTGGCCCAGCACTGGTCTTGAGAAACAGGGATACCACAAAAATTCACAGTGTAGCAGGTGGAGATTTAAACTCAGGACTTATGAATATGAGGCAGAATTTCTAACCACTCTATAATATTTGGTTGAATGATTATGTATGAAAAGGTCTCAAAAGGACTCAGAAATATATCAACAGTATACTATATATTGCAATATAATATTCAAGACTACCCATTCACAAACAATTCCTCACTCATGATATGCTGTATAGCACTTTATGAGTCACCTGTATGCATAGCAGTCATTGTTTTCTTTCACACAGAACTGAAGAGGGGATTGCAGAAGTCTGAAAAGTTAACCTGATTCATATGTATGCCTTCTGTGACTCTGTTAGGCTTACTGACACAATAAAATGTCTGTCAGGCACTAAATATCTTTGGTTTTACCTAAAGACAGCCATAAACATTAGCACCTTTAGGTGAATTCACATTAAACCTGGTGAAAAAAAGAAAAAGGTAAAGCCATCCCTGTAACAGGCCATGAAGGCCCATAGTTTTGTGAGTTGTCGAAGCTCCCACAGTCAGCTCACAGATTGCAGTAAGGTTGTCAGCCTTTCATGCTAGCTGCCCCCCCCCCCTTCTGATTCCTGTTCAATGTTGCAATGAACCTTTCAGTGTCAGTACAAGTACATATTCTGGTTATACATACTGTCCAAACTGCATTAGCCCAATATGTACTTGAGCACTATACAACTTATTCTGATGCCTCTGATAGGAAAAATACTGTATGAATATGTCATCTGTTATTTCATATATCACTATACAGATGGCACAGCTATAATGCATCTTGCTTGCATTCAGGATATACCCTGTTCAAATTCTGGCCAGAGTGTAGCTGTCCTATGGTTATTTTGTTTTTCCACAGCCATGTCCAAGGACTGATATTATGTACATATTGGCCACAACCATGACTTCTCACATTCTACCTATTTTATAATTACTATTATACCACATATAATTAGATGTACCAGTAATTGATACAGTGTCATAAAATAACAGGCAAACAGTGTATTATAATAACAAAGAAGAACTGCTCCTTACATTACCCCTTTTCTCTTATATCTGTCTTTATAGGTAGTCACGATGAACAGAACAGTATCAACAAGTCATAGGTCTGTTTCTGTCATGACAAAGTGCAGAGTCGTTCTGGTGAAATTTGAATTCTGAAAGGGTTAACACTCAATGCATGACTTTGGGACTGCTGAATAATGCTGAAAGTGACTTTCACCTCCATTATTATATAAAAGTTCTGATAGTTCATGTACTGCCTCAGTGTCACCTGGTGTTGGGTTATAGCTGCTCTTGTAGCACCTCCAGCTACACCAACAATGGACTTCATTGTTGTTGTAATGCAGAGAATGTGTGTTGAATATGATGACAACAGTGGTAGGAGAAGCTCCAATCCCATTGCCATATCATTTAGAACATCAGCAAAGAGGCGCCATTTCTTGCAGTCTCCATCCAAACAAGTGCTAAAATAGTGACAACAAAATCAGATATAAGCTCAATATATATATGCTCAGTCCAGACTATGAAGTCCAATAAAAGGTAGAAATATCAGAAATTTGAGCAACTACATATGAATCAGGATCATTTATCTTCCAATGTCTACCGAAAAACCTAAAAACAAAAACATACAAAACTATAATTCCATCTCGTTTGGTACGTCTCTCACTTTTAGGAAACAGTACAGACTGAAAGGGTTTCAGAGACAATGTAAACGAAAATATCTGGTAGAGTTAAAGTAACGAAGAGATGGATAAAATCCCATGCTGAGAGTTTCATATTTTATTCTCCACCTAACACTGTTAAGAGTATTTACATTACGAAGGGTGAAATGCAGAAGACATTTAGTAACCATGGTGTAAAAGAATATACAGTAACTAATTGGGCGCAGTTTCAAGACAGATGCGAAATAGATCATAGTTGGGCAAACTTTTTACTGAATTGCCAAATGAGATGTTATATGTTGTACATCATAAAAATCAACAAAAAGAGATAACTATCTAAATTATATTATTCATTATCAGTACTCACTGATTAATGTGACAGAAAGTGCTGCTGACAGTTTTTGAATATTCAGCGTCAGTGCTGATGTTGCAGTATGCAAAGTGCAGATAAATTTTCATCTGCTATCTCTACACTTAAAAATCCAGTTTGTTCAACTTCATTAAAAAAAATGCTTGTTCATGGTGGTATATGAAGACAGAAGTTATAATATCTTCCTTCCAAAGTTGCACAAATTGCTGTACTTGAAATCACATGAGCCCCCCAGCCACACACGCACATGCACTTACGCATGTGCGCATACACACAAATCCATCAAAGTTGGCAACACTGATTTTAGTCCTTCACCACTTTGCAGGTCAGTCAGTTCCAGCTAAATACTATCTGGAGAAAGGAAAAAACATCTGAATGTTCTGTTCTGTTTCTTTAAATCTACAGAAATCTTCATACAGTTCACTATGAATGTTATTGTACTTATCAGCTGCACTGGAACTCATGTTCTTTGTTGATTAGAAAAATAAGTACATTTATTTTCCTTAACCTTTCTTGAGAACAAATATAGTTGTTTCAAATGTTTGTATTGCTGTCTTTCATCTTTCAGTTGTGGGAAAAGATCTTCATGTCCTAGAACATTAGTATTTCCTAGTGTTAAGTCCAGGGACTTTACATAAACTCAGGCACTGAACAATGGAGTGGTACAGTATATCAGTATGGTCACCATCCACATCTTGAAGCTCAAATATAAACCTCTTTTCGTATGAAATATATGAAATTCAGTAGTTTCATTACTGGTTGTCACATGGTTCATATTTAAAGTTTATATTTTTCATCTTCCCATTTGGTGTTACATAGTCTGTGTGCTTAATGAAGTGTTGTTAAATCGAGTAAGAGACAAACAAATAACAAGTACTCATACGGTTATGTAATATGCATACAGGCAATAAATTATTCAAATGTACCTCTGTCTCAGCACAGTGTACAAAGTATGACTAGCTTCCTTACCCCTCAAACCAGGCAAACGCTATTCTTCCAATCATTCCAGTTCCATCTTTCAGAATCCATGTAATTGCTGCAGCAAAGGGAGTGGCAGCACTGTCTCCAACTCCAACACCCTTCATGACAGCCTGTGTGGTAAGGGTGCCCGTAATGGTACTGCAAAATGCCTGTTAAGAATTCTCTTACTAAATTATATGACACAGAATTTCTTTTGCCTTTCTAAAGCAACTTTTCTTGCTACTGACAGCCATGGGTTCTGGCAGGAGGGGGGCCTAGGCATCTGCCCCCCTCCCCAGAATTTTGAAAAAATCAGAATTGAAGAAAATAAAGTAATGAAGCAAACACTAATTAATAAACATCACAAGTATTTAAAAATTGTTCTATCCTGAATACTCTAGGGCGTTTGTAAGCAAATTTTCTGGCTGCCTCCCAAATCATGAGACCCTTTTGTTTGCTTTTCATATTAACCTTTCTTTTCAGAGGGTATTTTTCAGTTCTGGTATCCTGCGAAGTCCCAACAGCACAAATGTACTCTGAAGCAAAATGCCTCAGTAGTTTCACAGAGGTGAAGTAGTTATCAAAGAACGCTTCATGTCCTCTGTGAGATCAAATTCCAGCTTTACTGATTGAAGCAAAGCAACATGAACAGACACAACATTCCAGTTGTTTCCAGTTCTATTTCTGGTGCATACTTGAAAAGTCACTTGAACAAAATATGAAGTTATTGAAACAAAAAAAAAAAAAACATATTATAATCTCTTTAGCTCAATGTTTTTTATTGCTAGTGGGGGGGGACTAAGTCTCTTGTACTGTGGCCACTTCTGGCCTATTGCACCAGCCCTAGATGATAGGTGAGGGTGATTGTGGAGCAATTGGTGGAATGAAGATTGGCAGGGGAAACCGAAGTACTTGGAGGATACCTGCCCCAGCACCACTTTGTCCACCACAAATCCCACTTGACCAGACCTGGGATCGAACTCGGGCTGCCGCGGTGTGAATCGAGCGACTAACTGCTTCAGCTATGGTGCTGCCTAGCTCAATGCTTGCTGTAATACAGAATCGTTGTCCTTCATCTACAGATGAACTTTCATCAAGTCCACCATGTTTCTTGAAGGTAGTTAAATGCACATTCAGTAATGACTAACTTGAGAAGTCTCACTTCCATCACACTGAACACAATTATTTAGATGCAAATGTCATACAGTAATCACAAAACAACTGCATCTTACATTGTCTGTTAGTAGTATGGATTCATCATTTCTTTTTGACCAGTACATGCTCTTGTTTAAGAGCCAAGATAGTGCAGTTGGTATAGGAACTGGCTGTGGGCTTGACAACAAAGAGGTCAGAATTTGAGTCCCAGTAGGGGCAAGAATTTTCACTTCTCCATGTTGTCTGGGGTCCACCCAACCTCCTACACAATGGGTACCAGGGCCTCTTTCAGGAGGTGTGAAGCCGACCACTCACCTCCAATTAGTGCCGAGGTCAAGAAAATGTGGATTTATGTATCCATTCCCCCATATGCCTTCATGGTCTAGTGATTAGTTAGTTAAGCACAGGGACAACTTTACCTTTTTACATGCTCTTGTTTGGGTATGCAGCATATCCTGACATCAGAATTTCTCCTGTAGCAAACTTCCTGTTCTTCCAGTCAAATTAAAGCTAGTTTTGTGAGGCATATAAGATCTCTACCGTTAAAAAACTGGTGGCTCCAGCACCGATATGTCCATATTTGCAGGGGAAGGACTACAGTGACAGCTGAAACCAGGTTTTTAATTTCCAGATTTCCAATGTGGTGCATCTTTTTTGTGACTTTTATATCTAATTAAATTTTATACATGTTATTACATATTCTTTTTATTTACTGAAGGAACAGGCAACTTAGGTTAACCACAGCTATGGTTCACATAACTTCCAATTTACTATTTACTAAGTCTTGCCAAATGCATTGCCCCCCCCTGCAGGAATGTAATCCCTGCAATACATTTCTTCTTTCATGGTTTTACATGGACTTTACTGCTCATAAAGGTCCAGAGAAATACTTCAGGCTTTATGTCAGATGTAGAATGTTTCCTGAGAGCTCCATGTAGCAAAATTACAATTTCATGTTACTTACATGCTGAAAACAAAATGACAAACTATAATAATTAATAATGATATTAAGGAGAGAAGCTGAAAATGGTCCCTTGGGGAAAAGAGGCAAAAATAATGGTCCAATTAATGTCTTAGAACAACATACTAAAATCCTTTAACGTATTTGGTGCCATTCTGCTCCATGGCCACATGCACAGCAGCTTTGGGGTACAACCAACCTCCTACAAAACTTGGAATGTTGGGCTTTATCATGAGAGATACAGTGGATTAAGGATGGAAGTGACTGCTTACCTCCATACAAATGCTGACATTCAGAATGTATGGGATTCTACCTTTACAATTTCTATATGCCTTCATGACGCTAGACACTGGGACAACTGAAGCCAGAAACTGATACACAAGATCAAACACTGACAAATCCAAACAACTCTCAGTAAAACTCAAAACATCTGAGTCATTCATGCAGTGAGTCTGCTAATATATCACATCCATAAAGAACTAACTTGCAATGTATCCCAGAGTTGGTATCTGTAGTAATCATCACTAACACTCCTTGGATATCCTTGGGGCAAAAATACCTGACGAAAAAATTGCACAAATCTTTCAGAGAATGGTGTAGACAAAGTTGCTGATGAACCCAGTTGCACAACTGAATCTTGTTCTGAAAAGAAAATTTACACCATATTTATGATATTCAAGACACTGTAACAATCATCAAAATCCCATAAAGCTGAAACTCTGTGATTAAACATATATTAAACCTGGTTTTAAAACAAGAGAAGAGAGCAAGACAATCTTAAACAAGGACTCATACTTTCATCCACTGGCAGTTGAAGAAATAGGAAAAAATAAGCCGTATAAATAAAAAAGAGAAGTTCTGAATGATGCAGTTCTTTTCAAAAGATGGCTTGTGCAATATTACTGTAATATTTAAGTCAGTTAAACTTAGGTAATCAAAATCATCTGAAATGTTTTTAAGAGAATAAGAATGGGAAAGGCATATGAATGTTAAAAAAAAAGAAAAGATAATCCAAGTTTAGGGGAGGTCTAGACTACCATGATGACTGATGAACATAGAAGTTCAGACATGTACCGGCATTATCTCGAAAACCGGCCGTAATAAGGAAAAAATTAAGTGATAAGGTGTGTAAGTCATTTTCTCGACAATTTTTGTTTAGAACATTTTTGTTCCATCAAACATTTGGCGATTTATTCTCAAAACACGCACAAATGTCAGTTGCTAAAAGCGTTGGATCAGAATGGAATCTAAAATCGTTCAACATATGTTTTATATATTAATTAAATTTCATGAAAATCCGTTAGGCCACCCTCGAGTTGTTTCATGCGTACCGGCTAGGGGACGAAACATCTGAGTGAACTTTAAACGCGCTCGGAATAGTTCCGAACGCTCCCAAAAAGTAACCCCGAAGAAGTCACAGAAATAATTATCCCCTCACGGATAATTGGGAGTATTCTGCATTCATCCAGGCTCTGAATCGGATAGTTTTGTTGAAGTATCAATTAGGGTAACCTAACCTCACGTTGGCACATTCATCCTACTCCATAATTTGGCCAGATGTTATCTTTAAAGGAAAAAGTAAGGTGATACTGAAAGTGAAAGAAGCCTCATGGGCTATTCCAACATAAATTTGGATTTCGTTTGGGAAAACATGCAACGGCCAGTACGCACACCAAGTTTCGAATTTAAGTAACCAGACTACAAAACAAACACGACACCACATAGCATTTTCATTATTCTTGCAGCAACAGAGAAATGGATATAATTTAAACTTCCAATCCTGACATGCATCTTCTCGATTCCAAACGTCCAAAACAACCGTAGGAAACCTACCTGGTGCTTTTATATAAACTATTTTGTCACCAAGTGTTCCATACTGCTCACGAAATATGATTTCGCGTGGCATTTTGGGTGCTAATTTACATCAATCTCCGAATATTAAGCAGAATTTCATTACGTCCTACCCAATCCTCTATACAGCCTAAGGTCTGGAGCGTCTGGAGGGCCTGGAGTATACGATTGTGACGATTTTGACCATTTTGACAGACGTACGAGAAACATACACTAGAGACATCTATAGTCCCGGACCTTGAATTACTTGAACCAAGTACACTGAGAGCGGTCAACTGAATCCAAATGTTGAATATCGAGTTCGTAGGTTATGAAGAGTTCTGCATTGTTGGATATTATGTTGTGCAGTCCATTGAAAGCCAACCTATGTTTCGGAGGAACCGCGTCCATCTTCAGGGTTGAACAAACCGCGCAAGATACCAGCGCGAAAGCAGGTGGCAAGCAGAGGAGTCGGCTAGCCGGAAATTTCGGGTAACGTAATAAGCAGGAGGGAAATGAAAGAATGGACCTCAGTTATCAACGACAGATTCCCCTAGTCATCACAGCCTGTCATGCATCTGAACCAATAGCAGTACAGGTGGATAATTCAAAAGTTATTTCGTTTCCAACTTACAATCTACAAATGACAACCTAACAACGGATCACTAAATAGGCTTTGTAAGACTTGAGGTTTTTCACGGCGGTGACTATGAAGAATGCCGTCTTCTGGGATGTGGCGCCGTGTAGATAACATCACTCTGGATGTGAAATCTATTGATCTCTCCGGCAATCCCAGTTGGCTAATCATGCCCAAAATTCAGATTTCCTTTCTCATGGATGCAAGTATATTTGCTGCAGTAAAATGACACATCAGGAAATATTCATTGTCATGTTTGCCTCTATCACGTTATTTTAGGGATTTGATGCTTGTTTAGTGCCCCTTTACAATTATTTTTCACAGCAAGTTTCCTGTGTCGATTTTCTCTAGCTAAAATTTCCTAAAATGTGAGAATTCCAGTATGTTTAAATCATAGGCATAATAACCGAAAGATCACAAATGAGTCTATAGAATAAAGAGTACATGAGCACTTGTGTGGGGTTATGCAGAGGCGTGTGAGAAATTTTAGTGGTGATAGAAAAATATTTATATTTTAAGGCTTTGTTAGCTGCCTCCGTGTCCAGTTCATCGCAACTTAGATTCTATTATTTTCTTCAAGAGAAAGGTTATCGTATTCTCCGTTGCGGCATTTGGACTAAATGGCCAACTTACGGCCATGCATTCATAGCCCCTCCTTTAAAAACTGAGCGCTCAACTAACGAATTCGAATAATACTTGGGACTTATTTTGTCAGAGGGTAAAATAATAATATTTCTTAAATTTATGATGAAACACCTTTAAAATGCCGGTCACGGTAGCCGAGCGGTCTAAGGCATGCACTGTCTTCGCTCGCTCAGAAGCCGGGATCGTGGGTTCGAATCCCACTCAGGGCATGGATGTTTAGGTGCGTTGTTCTGTGTTTGTGTACATGTAGAGGCCTTGCGACGAACTTATCACCCGCCCAAGGAGTCCTACCGTGTGTTTAAGATCTAGTAAAACCGAAGTGAAAATGAGAATTTCATGTAGGTAGGCCTAGGCCCAAATGAGGGCTGTAGCGCCAATGAAAAAAAGCACCTTTAAAATGTATTATAGGGAACGATGGTGAACATTTTCGAATATGAGAAGAGAAGAAACTATTCATTCACCTATCGTGTACACGAAACAGGAAGCGTGCCGGCTGCGATGAGGGACAGGTGGACGGAAGGTGAGGTTATCTTGGGTAACAGCAGATGGAGGAAACCCGATGTTACAGTCTTGGTGTCCATGAGGCGCAACAATATACTCGAACACCTGGCTTTGAGGAATGCGCTGCCGAGCGGCAATCTGCAGCTGGCTAGGGGTTGTCTTGTGCTGCATACACGCGTTGCGTTGTCTTTTTTTCCTCTATAAACACACACAGACACATATAGGTAAGGCTTATCAGGTGTTCTTTCAATATTCTACCAGAAAGGAACAATCACTAACCATAGCAATTGAATGTTGTGTTCCGATGGAGTAAACATTACCCACATGCGAAATTTGCTTTTTTGCATTCGTCATTCGCCCTGATGTTCGTTTATTGCTGACACACCTCTTGTCACAAAGCTACTCGCGCTGCAGATGTAACAGCGCAAAGTTGGAAAGTACTTTTCCTTTATTTAGTTAAGTATTCATTCTACTCTGTGGATGAATACCATTTGTCTAGAAAATAACTTACGTATCTTTAAATAGCCTTGTGTGTAGCCACTGTGTATTCTTGANTCTAAGATCCATTCTAATATTGTCCACCCACCTACGCCTTGGTCTTCACTGTGGTCTCTTTCCTTCTGGCTTTCCCACCAATATCCTATACGCATTCCTCGTATCCCCCATTCATGCTACATGACCTGTCCACCTCATCCTCCTTGACTTGATCATTCTAATTGTACTTGGAGAAGAGTACAAGTTATGAAGCTCCTCATTATGCAGTTTTCTCCAACTTTCTGTCACTTAATCTCTCTTTGGTCAAAATATTCTCCTCAACATTGTATTTATATTACATATTCCACATCCTACAGTCATTTTGACTAACTTTGAATCCATGGAATGCAATGCAATGTAATGTAATGTAATTCAGCATGCCGAAAATGTTTCAAAGAAGGAAGTATATATTAAGGAGGTGTATATTTTATGCCTTACATCAGTCTCTCTTTCGATGAGCCGTTCTCAGGAGAGTGACGAAGTTGTGCTTGATTTTAATATAAAATAGTGGAATGATGTGGAAGAAAATTACATTCGTCAGACAACTGTTAGTAGAGACCTGCGATATGAATTTTCACTAAAATTCGTTCAGTAGGTTCGAACATGTAGACGGACGAGCGAATCTCACAATGAGTTCATTTTATACACTTCTTGAAAGGAAAGAGTAATACATTATTGTTCATTTGGTGAGTTGTTCAGGTCTATTGGATGTAGCATTTTCCACGCATTTACAACTCCCTCTAAGATTTAAGGTTCACACGACGGAGATTATGAAGTTCTACTTTTGGGGTGTGACACCGTATAGTCTGATGGAAGTTTACCGACGTTTTGGAGGAAAATATTACCTCAAGCTTCTGATTCGAAGAGTAAGCCAAGAAATGAGCAATCAGTAAATGTCTACAGCACTACACGAAATCACATCAGAAAAGACGGTGCTTAAGATATTTCCTGTTTGACCAAATCTAATGATTCTGTATCATACAAAGGAGTCATTACCGTATCTTCCTCAACTAGTTCACATACGATTTTTTTTTTAAGTTTTATCCTAATGCTATTCTTTCATATACATCTAGGTCTCCCAAATGATTCTTCCTTGTCAAAATATTCCCTACAGATCGGTCTGTTTTCACGTGCGTGACACAGTCGATCAATCTCATCGTCATTGGTTTGAGTCCTAATCATCCTTGCAATATTACGAATACAGCTACACAAGTAAGTGACTGACTGACTGGATGGAACAGACTCCTCCTTGACAAGCTAATAGTACCTAAGCCAATCAAGAAACTAACCACTTATTAGTACACCCGAAATTTCACTGTCGTGTTCGGAATAGCTTGCCACAGGTTATCATGAGCCTATTGAATCCCACACGAACCCTGACATACAACCCTTACGTGGTCATTTTCTTTACCTTTAGACTTTGGAGTTAGAAGTGGCGTCTTCCCTTCAAGTTCGCCGCCAAAAATATATGCACGTCTCCCATACGAGCTAAATGCCCAGTCCATTTCATCCTCCTTGATTATATCGCACTAATGACACATGTTGAAGACTACATAATCCTCATTGTGTAATTGTAATCTATCTCCTATTTCCTCATCTCACTTAAGTCCAAATATCTGCTCAAAACTTTGTTATACTTTACCCTGAAATCTGTAAGTTGATGCAGGTTTAAGTAAATATGTTAATGAATGATGTTCAAAATGCACACAACTGTTAATAAATAATACCATATTGAAAGGGACACTTAGTAATAGAAACATACGGAAATGGGAAATACGTAAAGAAATTTCTGTCAGAATAATTTTGAAATAAATCTTTTAGAAATAGGATGCTGATTTGTGGATTGAATTCAGCTGTATAGCCTTAGGCCCTTATGAACATCATAATGAAATTTTTGGTTCCATAAAAACGAAATTCCGTAAATATCCCAGTAGATATCAGCCATTCAATGAAGGTTCTACACCAAGGGATTAGTTAAGATCAGTTGAAAGGCGGTAAAAACTGAAATCAAAAGCCCCCACCCCCATGTCAGAAGTGAGGTATATCCTACCAGCAATGTAACATTTAAGGGTCAACTTCATTGTCTAGCGGTTTGCCTATCCGTCCGACCATGGTAGGATTTATACAATATTTGCCATTTATCTTACTTGGCTGAGGACATTTTCATTAGTCAAAGCTTTCAGTAATGTTTTCGTGCATGTCATTAGACTGCTGAAGAAGGGTGGGGCTGTATTTGGCAACTTATTAAAATGAATATGTACAACATTATTATGTGTTTCCTGCTAAAAGTACATAATATGAATTCATGGTGAGAAAATTATGTCTGTACTTTCGTCTGTAAGTTTCATCTCGGAACATACTAACGATTCGTCATGGAGGTTGGCAATTCTGTGGTTTCCTTCTATAACGCCAGCATAATATTTGGAATAATATCTTACAAAGGCAAGGCCCGCTCCCTCCCTATCCATTGTTCATAATAATCCTCCTCTTTAACTCTTCAAGCTCCACACTGATAGGAAAGCTTCATAGCAATGACCAAACAATAAAATACCCAAAGAATTTTGATGAAATTTAGTATTGGAGGGCTTTTACATGGAAGATGTCGGGCGAACTTAATTTTGAAACCTATGGGTCAAATTTTAACTCCTGCTTAATAATAAGTAAAAGTAAGTAAAGGTATCCCTGTAACAGGCCGTGGAGGCCCATAAGGTTGTGGGATGTTGAGGTTCCCACATTTTCTAGACAATAGGCTCATAGATGGCGGCAAGGCTGTCAGCCCTACGCGCCTGCCGCCCTTTACCCCCAAGAATATTTCTAGTACTCATTTCTGTTAGAGGCTGAGTCGACCCCAGGGCCATAGTGGGCTGGAAGGATTAGGTCGATTGAAAAATTCAATGACCTCAT